TTAATCCTTGATTAAGCCTATCTGAAATTTTGTCTCAGCCAAGCAACATCATTCACGTCCCTCTGTTATATAAGTACTAATCTGTTAAGCACAATTCATGGATGACCATTAAAACGGACATCTTCCTTAATATTTGATAGCCAAGTCAACAAATCAGAAAACATGTTGTTTACATCACAAACGTCTTTAGACATTTAGTCGTAGTCGTTATACCGCTAGTTTTCACAGACCATTACTACTGTAATGTCCAGTTCTCACTGGGTGTTATATTCTTGTGGCCTCATACCAGACTTAACTTTGTAATACTGATATCTTGCCATAGAGGAATGCTTAGCAAGCTAATTATTTCAACAATTATTACTATAGTGCCTTTCATTCTTATGACGAGAGCTCCAAATTTATGACCTTATACCAGAATAAAATGTGAATAACTATAAATCTTGCATTGTGGAGCAAATTAGTTTTGCCGACAAGGATCCTCACTGGATGCTCCAAATTTGTTGCCTTGTACCAAACTAAGTACTATAAGTAACTACATATTTTGCTCTGTGGAGAAAACTATATTTACTGACAAGGATCCACACTCGATTCTCCAAATTTGTTGCCTTGTACCAGACTAAGTGATATAAATAATTATACATCTTGCTCTGTGAAGCAAACTAAGTTTACTGACCAGGATCTCAAATGGGTGCTCCAAATTTGTTGCCTTGTACCAGACTGTTATAAATAACTCTCCATCTTTCTCGGTAATGCAAAATAGCTTCACAGGCAAGGATTTTCACTGGGTGTTCCAATTCTGTACCAGACTCAGATAAGTGTTGTAAATAATTATGATTTTTGCTTTGTGGACTAAACTAACTTTGCAGACAATGATCCACACTGGGTGCTCCAAATTTGTTGCCTTCTACCTGACTGTGTTATAAATACCTATCTCTGTAGTGCAAAATAGCTTTACAGACAAGGATCCTCACTGGGTGCTTCATACTTAAGGTTTTCTTCAAAATTAAATTTAGAAAATAATTACATAGGTGTTTCACCATGGAGCAAACTAGTCTCACAGAGTACTTAGTTTGAGCCTTTCTGAATGCTCATTGCTTATGGCCTTGTGCCTGACAGTGGTAGGCTTAGTAAATAAGTAATAAGTCAGTTAAAACAAAAACACACACAAAAAAGCTTGCATGAAAACAAAAGAAATAAAAAGAAAAAAAACAGGCGTGAAATTATGTATACCATATTTTTTGGTGTAGAAAATGCACCTTCATTTTCAAGAAAGTTTAAAAAAATTAAAAAAGCTGCAGTTGAATTTAAAAGATTCTCAATGAGTAAAAATTAAAACATATTTTAAAAATATATTGTTCGAACTGATATTTTAAAAATATATTGTTCGAAATGCGATACAGGTGAAAACATCAAATTAAGAAAATAACATACTTTATTTTCAACCATGTATGCCTTTTTTTAAATATATTTACACTTGGCTTATATATATATATATATATATATATATATATATATATATATATAAAATGTATATTTGGGCAGAATCCTTTCTTTCAAACATGTTTTAGTGAATATGACAAAAGAAAATTTCTAAAATTTTTTATTTAGTTTTTCTGGTATTTTAAATTTTTTCTGTTTGGTAGGGATAAGGGGTGTATAAAATTGTCCCAAGCACTTTCAGCCACTGAAATTTACATATATATATATATATATATATATATATATATATATATATATATATATATGTGTGTGTGTGTGTGTGTGTGTGTGTAAAAATGCAGCTATAAATAAAATAAATCTGTTAAAAGACATTATGAATAATGACAAAGGAAAACTTTTCTTTACCAACGCATTTTGTTCTCAAAAGATGAAATACATTCATAAGAAAAGTGTTCCTTTGTCTCTATTCATATATATATATATATATATATATATATATATATATATATATATATATATATATATAAAATTGTGTATTTGGGCAACAATCCCTCTTTTATACAAGTTTCATTAAAGACAACTGACAAGGTACTGCGATTAAGCTTTTTAATCAATTTTTCTTATATTTCTATAAGTTATTTCTTTTATGTAAAAACTGTCCGAATGTTCAATATACCCAAGCACTTTCGACTATTCTATTAGCAGTATTCATGGCTGTTTTTTTTTAATTTTCAAATGATTATGTAGATTTTTCTATATGTATTTGGAGTGAATGTTTTTTAGTATTATTTTCCAAACACAGTCAGCACATTGTGGCCATGTTCACAGTTGATATTATTGAGTGTTTTTTTGTCATTGCCATGATCAAAACTGGCAACTGTAAAAATGACCAAGGAGGAATTTCTTAAAGTCAGGAATCACCAATCCTCCATTTCTTAAAAACAACTTCAAAGAGGCCATTTGACCACACAAACACTGACCAATATTAACAATAAAAAAACAAATGAAAACTATAGATAAAGTTCATTTTCTTCAGTCTTTCACTCTTGTAGATCACTGCTACTAATAAGCAGGGATTTTTTTCTTCTGATGATGGCCATGCTGGCCGAAACTAGTTGAGGAGCCTAATTGAAATAATAACACAAAAAATATTAATATACAACCCAGTGTGCCTGAAAATTTTAATTTTTTAATATTTTTATTTTTTCAAAACATATATGTTAAAAATGACAGATGTTTTGATGCATTTTTAGGGTGTAAAAGTGCATATTATACACTGAAAAATACAATAGTTTGAGCAAATGTATCCCTCCATAGTACAGATTTGTTATATCAAAAAATTGCACCAAAATTATTCAGCAAACAAAACAAAAACATTATTTCCACAACAGACCTGATAATATTATGATATTAACCTTTGGCAAAAAAAGAAAAAATTGAGTTCTTATCTTCAACATTATTCTTTCTGTTTTTAACAAATTGAGTTCAGTTGCAGTTGCTTCTATGACAGCCCAATGATCAAATTTCAAATCTAAATTGTTTATCCATTTAAAATATTATGTTTATTAGAAAATATATTCAGTTTAAATACAAGAGTATTAAAAATGAATTCAAAGATTCAGACTTTTCCATTTATAAGCTTTTCCTATTACCTAGGGGTTGTTGCCAGATAGAAAAGGAAATTAATCTTTGTACACAGCAGATGTCCATTTTAGTTTCATCTGAAGTGAGTGCATATGTGTGCACATATATTTTAATCCAATGAGAGGAGAAAAAAAAACATTCTTTTGAATTTTTTTTTATTACTGCATAATATCTGGAATGTTCAGGAAAAGCTTACGATAATGCAATTTTTTATTAAAATAATTAAATTTCTCTTTTTTTTAAAATCTTAATTCCAAATTTATGATTTTATTATTCAGCCCTGGGTAAGGGTTGTCCAGACTGAGCAGGATGAGAACATATTATTCCAATATCTTATTTCAAAGTCAGTCAAATTGTATGTGTGTGTGTGTGTGTGTGGTACAAGTATGTGTATGTCACTCATGCACAACACAGACATACACATATACATTGCATACACGTATGCAATGTGACACACAGTGTATCATGGACAAAGATTCATTTATTCTTTTACATATATATCCTTTCCATCAATATTTCTATAAAAAAATTTCTTTTAATCTAGTGACTGTCACAAGAACTAATAAAAGCTAAGACATTAATGGAAATACCAAATTTATCCAATCACACAAAATCAAAGAAGCATATTTTAGTATTCTAATTGATAAAAATCAAGCAATTTTATACCAATCAGTAGTAGCAGAGAAATACAAAATCAACCATTCAAAAGGAAAATATAAACACAATAATAATGAATACAAAGATACAAATATCAACCAATCAGTACAAGCTTTTTTAAAAAATCAACCAATCAGTGGGAGCTGTTTAAAAATATCAACCAATCAATAAAAAACAGTGTAATACAATATCAACCAGTCAGCAAAAGCAGTGAACATACAAAATGTGCAAAAAAAAGTCAGGGGGGACCAATATGAATCAATCCCTAGAAGTTGAAAGATCAACAAATGAAATAAAACAAAAATAAAAACAAGCTATCAGATTAAAAAAACTTTAATTTTTTTTATCTATATTTTTTAAAAAGATGCAATATATTTTAAATTACTCATTGTACTAAACATATAAATTCTTCATTTCTTCCAATATATATAATTAAAATAATCTTTGTACAGCACAAGGCTAAATTTGAAAAACAAACAGGGAGAAAGAGTATCTAGCAAGGGTCAAAAGCTGACTAACCTTGAAAATCATCATTCAAATTCCTAGCATTTACCTGATCCTGAACACTAACCAATGGCATTGGTTCATTTAGCTTACAGATTGGTCAGAGTATTGAGGCACTCAGTAAGGTCGGCGTTCACTATACTAATGGAATAGCTTGTAAGATGAACTTTCTAATTCACCTATTGACTGAGGATTAATTAATATCAAAGAGACATTCACACATTACCAAAAGTGCAAAGAAAATCCTTAAAAGGAATCATTTGAGAGGCCTGTGGAATTCCAGGAATCATCACCAGTACCTCTCTCTTCAATTGTCAGAATTAACTGGCAGTGGTCAGCAGTGAAATTAAAGGGAACAATTTTGTAATTAGCAGTTAATTAACCAGGAGTTACCTCCCTTGGATATCTATTTATTTTATTCAACAGACACTGTATTTGTTGGTGTACAAGGCGAGATATTGTAGGTAGCTAACTGACAATATCTCCCTAATGTTTTTCATTAGAATTTGAGTGAAAACAAAAAGTATATGCTTACTGAATTTATTTAATAAATTCAATACATTTTAAAAAATATGGGGGGGGGGCGAAGGTCATCTTGTAAAGTGAATATAACTTGAAACCTACATTTTAACTTGAAAATTTGGGGGTCGTCATATACACCCAGTTGCCTTGTATGCCAGCATATATGGTATTTCATTAAAAATTAATCAGAAACCAGATTGTACTGGAAAATGCTTTATTTTCTAAATTAGAATGTTTTTTAACAATATTGTGCTTGTAAGAATTGTTATGATGTGCCATTTTTATGTGTTATAGTAACAAATGCCTTTATAAAAAAAACAAGACTATTATCCAATAAATGGGCTGAACCTAATATCCACTCGTGACAGCTGCAATATATTTTACACATGTCCTCTTCCTTAACACGAGAGCTATATTCAAACATGTTATTCAGATAAGTATGTACCTCTTTACCTATCTCACCCACTTACTGCGAGTTAATTAATATCAAAGCGACATTACACATTGCCAAAGCTGAAAAAAAAAATCCTTAAAAGGAGACATTCAGAGGAACATGACCTGGAGAATCTAATGGTACCCCCACCAGGACCTGTCTCTTCAGTTGTAAACTTAGAGTCAACTGAGGATGTTATTTTAGCCTTCTTGCTCAAGAGAGATCAGACAAGACAGATGGATAGACAGACAGTGGGGACTGAAAAGCAGTTCTGAGCAGAAGAAACAACAGCTTGTAATGTTTGCATAAAGAGCAGTTGGATTAAAATGGTCTTGCTATTAATAATGTCTGCTGGAGTGGCCCAGGCAACAAAACAGAAATCCCAAGTAGAAAAGAAAGAAAAAACAAAAAAAAAACAAATGATGTCATATCTAAGACTTGGTTAGATTTCCAGCACAAAGCATTCAAGCAAAGTTAAGCATGATCATTTTATGTAAAACTATTTATTCCATTAGTAATACAATTATTCTTATCTGACTTTGAGGAATATTGACATTGTGAAACTGTTAGTTGGTCATTAATAATCTCATGAACCTTTTTTTTGTTGATAATGATAGATAGATAGATAGATAGATAGATAGATAGTGGATGGCATGAGATAGATAGATCACATGAGATAGCTATGAACAGAATGAGATAGATAGATAGATAATGGATGACATGAGATAGATAGATCAATCGATGATAGATAGATATAATTAAATTAAGAATAAGTAGAAAATGTTTATAAATCTGACATATTTCAATATATAACTTTTTCATAGTAGAAGTTTCAGCCATGTCACCTCTGACTTCTTCAGGCATTCATTATTCAAACTATTGTTCTTATCTATGATTGTTATAAATATTACTACAAACATGTTTCAATCAAGTATACACTCTCCATCTTCAGCTTAATAAATATGTATAATACGGTCTGTCATATTACCTTAACAAAATCTCTAAGCAGCAGTGCCAAAATCTCTGCCTGATGATTGTACTATGCTCTTTATTTGTTATTTAACTATATGCAGAAGTGAATCAGTTTTTACTGTGTAACTTTACACAATATTAGAAAAATGAATCTTTTTAAAATTAGCAATAAATCTGCAAACACAGCCCTGCTTCTCTTTGTATTTTTTTGTTGGGAAATACAGAAATGACCAATTAAAAGCTTGCAAATATGTTGAATGTACCTCATTTCTTCAGTGTTTTTAACAATTAAAACTTAGTGAATAACGCAAACATACTTGAGAAAAACACAAGCTCCTGAGAAGGAAAAGAAAGGTGTGTTTCTTACCTGGTCGTACAGGTACACGAGGTGCAGAGTTCAGATGACTTTGAAGCGGCTGATGAGCAGGAGGGGGCTGCCAAAAATGGGACAAATACTGTGTGGAGGTGGGAGGCAGTGTGGGAAGAGCTGAAACAAAAATGTTTGGAAAATATTTTCTTTTGAAAGATAAAATCAGACTGTGTGCATTGACATATAACTTAAAGATACAATCAGCCTAATGAGCCACATAACAAAACTCATCATCCGAATGCTGATGAATAGAGTACGCGGTAGAATTAGACTGGAAATAGGATGAGAAACAGTGCAGATTCATCAAAAACATAAACAAGGAAAACAACATTTATGCTCTGAATGTTTAGTTTGTTAGTTTTTCCTTCCGCTTGTGCTGTTAGGTGTCATGGGGTGACACAGTTGTCTGTCAGCAGCAAGGCAAGTGGCCTGGAGGCGAGCTATCTCGTGGGCTCTGAGAGTTACGCACTGAATGATATCAGAAAACGCTGTACAAATAAAGAAAGATGTTTACCTGTGTTTTATAGACTGCGCAAAAGTGTTTAATAAGGGACAGTTGGAACTGCTCCTTAACCATAACATATTTGGGAAGGATATTAGAATAACCCAGAACCTAGCTGAGAGCAAACTGCTTGCATACAGATAGAAAAGAATTCAGTAAAAACAGAAAGGAATATAAGACAAGGATGTGACTTCTCACCAGACTTATTCAAAATATACAGTGAAGAAAATATGCTGAGAGAATTAGATGTCCCTCCAGGATTCACAATCTTAATAACATAAGATAAGCAGATGACACAGTGTTGATAGTAGACACAGCAAGGAAACTACAAGAACTCTTACAGAAGGTATATCGTGAAGAAGGTATCATTTTTATTATGGGTAAGGCATCAATTTTTATCACGAGCAAGGCATCATTTTTTATCATGAGCAAGGCATCAATTTTATCCAAAGAAAGGCATTATTTGCATCATGGACAAGTCATCAGTTTTATGCTGGGTAAGGCATCATTTTTTTTCCCATGGGCAATGCTGCATTTTTTTACCATGGGCAAGGCATCAGTTTTGTATCCTGGGAAAGGCATCATTTTTACCGTGAAAAAGACATCATTCTCCTACTTTTCTATTATATGTAATTGTAATCAGAATTAACAAAACTCCATGCAAAATTATAAATTCTACGTTACTATTAATGTGCCAGCAGAAAAATTTTTGTGTGGTTCGAGAAAAGCATATTTATGCAACCAATTTGGATTAGAAAATTCTTGCTACTTCTCTTAATATTTCTTTGTTGGGAATTTTCCAGGAATGCAGTTTCTTTTATTTTTCTTGCTGTGTTATTCAGTGTCACTGAAAATGAACCTTGATACAAGCGACTAATCATAAAACAGATATTTCTTAGTTCTCCATTTTCATTTTTCTCCTTGGCATTAGAAGTTATGTGGGGCGACTTTTCACAACTGTTTATGTCGAGTAGTTTCGCATAACTTGACTCAGACAGAATTTTGTCAACTCATAGTTACAATATTAGTGTCATTATAACCAGCTACAATCAAAGAAGCAGGCGTCTACTGCAGCTCGTATTGAAATAATTGATTCTATATGGCTTCCTCGACAAACGTCTTCAGAATTTGATAGCTTAATTTTAAATACTATATTTTGTACATAATACAACCCCACATTCTGTCCCTAATGACAAGAAATAAATCCCATTCTTGAGTTTTATATGACCCCTGTAGTACAGTCATTCTTTATGAAACTTTCTTATATTCATATTATCCATTAAAATCTGTCGTCGTTTGTTCACAATATTGAAGAATAGAAATGAACCACATGTTTAAATATTGCACGCTTCTTCTCCTAATTTACATTTCAAAACTTATTTTTCAAAAGGTGCTTTGTTGTGACATTAATGTTATTAAAACGTGCCCAATATTGTAAATACCCTTTAATCAATTTTCGTGAATTTCATGTCTTTGAGACAAAAGACATCCAATTATAAACACATCAGACTACAGATTTTCAATTATGGGTTAGATATCAGGATAGATTGTGCTTTGTAATCTCTAGAGATAATGCAAATTTTCAATTTCATGATCTGGAGGGCTTAATATTGAAAGAAAAAAAAAGGTTATTTCTGGTCACAGTGCCTCCAAGTCACAGGTGCTTCTGCTGAAGTTTGTGAATAGGTAATAAATGCATGAAAAGAAAATTGTTTTTAAATTTAAAAAAAAAAATGATTTTTAATACTAAAGATGCACCCAATACAAGACTCAAGAGCCACTCAAAGTAGAGAGTTTTGTGGAGTAGCTGAACACCCCCACAAGATGGACTGGTCTAAGACTATTTAAACAGCACTCTCTCTTACTAAGGGTGAGGAGTTAACAATTAACTTTATTACATTAGTCTGTGTTCTTAACTGTATACCATATTATTCTTCGGAATAAACTACTTCTTCAGAGTCTGTCTATATTTCTGAGATGAGGTATTATGTACATTATTTGGACTATTGTCTTCATCTTTGTCGCCGTATTTATTACAACGTTTCGGCCGTTGTAATGTAAACTACTTCTTATTTTCTATATGTGTGTGTCAACCTTTCCTATTTACAACATAACAACTTCGCAATACTTATTATCTTGAATAGCTCTCAATCCTTATATTGGGTGAATTTTAGTATTATAAATACTTTAATTTCTTATATTTTCAATCTTACAATCAACAGTCACAAAATAGAGAAAATTTGACAATTGTTTCTGAGTGGACCTCTTGACTTACGCAGTACTTTATATGTTTCAAATGATAAAGCTCTTTTGCAAATTTTTAGGCTTCAATAAGTGTTGTGGAGTAGCTGAACACCCCCACAAGATGGACTGGTCTAAGACTATTTTTACAGCACTTTTCTCTTATTGAGAGAGGGAGAGGAGTTAACAATTAACTGTTTATTACATTAGTCTGTGTTCTCAACCGGGTACCATATTATTCTCTGGAATAAACTACTTCTTACTTTCTATATATGTGTCAACATTTCCTATCTATGACACAACAGAGAGTTACAGAATGAAGTGTGTGACATGAATTTAAGAAGGTGGTGGTTGCCGTCTAAAGCACTGCGGGTGATACACCTAGGGGTGAATGGTTCGAAATTGGAGAGGTCCATGGCACCATGCTTTGTCCCAGTCTTGTGTTTGTTCAAACCATTCTACTAAACCCAAGGAATCCATTATTTTCTGCTGCAGCTTGAAGTAGGGCCTTTGTCCTTTCTCTGAGACAACATATTCAGTGGATTTGTTTTTGAAGTTACCCTCTTCTATCCTTTTGATGAAAGAATCAGGACCTACAAGGCAGCAGGTGGTTTGAATTCAGGGTTTCCTTCTCCGAGACTGATTGCCACTTTTAGGACCCAGCCTGTCCTGCTATTTTACCCATAGGTGGAGGGAGAAGGGATAGATTTATACCTTTCCCAAGGATATTAGCACATAAGTGAAGATAACAAACACAACTGGAATTTGAACTCGGCTCTCCAGTTCCTGAATCTGAGCCACTAACCATTACTCTACTGTGCCGCCAAGAAGGTGGTACAAAGTGAAAATTACAAGGATAAGGAGAATAGGCAATGATTGAAGCTTGACTTGAAGAGGTCAAGATTGTTAAGTGAAGCATTCATGTGGGAGCCTGTTCCACAAAGTAACAGATCTTGAGAAAAAGCCATTTCAGTGGAATTTTCTCTTTACAAATGGAATATGGGGGAAATAAGAGTGATTCAACTCCATGGAGGTAGCACGTCATTTCCTAGCTGAAACAATCTGAACTGCTGAAGCTATATAATAAGAGACATGAATGAAAAACCAATAATATTTGAAGTTCTATTCAACAATTATTTTTCTTAGTATTCCCTTTGAAATGGTAGGTGAGGTACATATGCCATCAAATATCATATAAGATGATTTGTCATAAGTGATTTTGTATATGTTGTGGGGTCCTCCCTCTAATGAGGGTATTGTGGACTCTTCCACTTACTATAAAGTTAGTAGAAAAGTAAGCCTTGGGGGAACAGTGATATAGATTGAACGTTGGTTAACTGACACACTCATAAGTCGTGTAATACTCTTCTGTTCAATACACACTTTATCTGCAACCTCTTGTTTTGTTATTTCTTAACCAATTACTTGATCATAACAGTATAGATGACTGAAAAACAGTGTGGGACCAGTAACATTTTAGCCATAAACCCCTTATTTTAAGAGGCAGACATATCAGAAACACTTACCAGGCAAACGAGACCTTAGTTCCTCTTGGTTATTTTCTAAGTCGCACACCCCGCTGTCAGCTGGACTGGGAGGTAACGAGCCTAAGAAGACAAAAGTTGAATATTATTCATAACAAATAACATCTTTGAAGACAAATGTCATAATTTCAAAGGCAAATGTCATAATTGTGAAGACTAATATCATAATTTTGAAAACAAATGACATAATTTTGAAGACAAATGTCATAATTTTGAAAACAAATGTCATAATTGTAAAGACAAATGTCATAATTTTGAAAACAAATGTCATAATTTTGAAGACAAATGTCATAATTTTGAAAACAAATGTCATAATTTTGAAAACAAATGTCAAGTTTGAAAACACGTCATAATTTTGAAAACAAATGACATAATTTTGAAGACAAATGTCATAATTTTGAAAACAAATGTCATAATTGTAAAGACAAATGTCATAATTTTGAAAAAAACAAATAATTTTTGAAGACAAATGTCATAATTTTGAAAAACAAATGTCATAATTGTAAAGACAAATGTCATAATTTTGAAAACAAATGTCATAATTTTGAAAACAAATGTCAAGTTTGAAAACATGTCATAATTTTGAAAACAAATGACATAATTTTGAAGACAAATGTCATAATTGTGAAGACAAATGTCATAATTTTGAAAACAAATGTCATAATTTTGAAAACAAATGTCATAATTTTGAAAACAAATGACATAATTTTAAAGACAAATGTCATAATTTTGAAGACAAATATCATAATTTTAAGATTAGGCCTTTCAGACAACCAGGATGCGAGATGTTTGCATCAAGATTTTTAGCCAACAAGATATTTAAAAAAAAGAAATTTCATAATTACCTGGGACGATCAGAGGCATAATCTGTTTATCATAAGTGGTACTTGGAGAATCCAGACTGATAAGGGCCTCTGCGGCCACTTGGTGACCATTACTCTGTTGTTGTTGTTCACAAGCATCAACTGCAAAGAGAAATGAAACAAATAAAAATAATTTTAAAAATTAAGTTCTTCCAGAAAAATAACTAAACAATTAGATTCTAACTACAGAAAAATAATAAAAAAAATTAGATGGTACCTCCAGAAAAATAATGAAAAAATTTAGATGGCACCACAAATTTAGATAGCAACAAAAAAATAATTTAAAAAATTAGAGAGTACATTTAAAAAAATAATTAAAAACACAGATTGCATTTTCAGAAAGAAAAAATTAGACTGGAGCCTCCAAACAAATAAAAAAAAAATTAGATGGGGCCTTCAAATAAATAAAAAAACAATGGGTGCATTTAGAAAGATAAACAAAAATTATATGGAGAACACCCAAAATAATAATTAAAAAATTAGATGGTGTCTCTAGAAAAATAATTTTAAAAAAGTGAAGTTTTTTTTTTTAATTATTACTAAAAGAAAATAAAAATCTTTTTGTGTTGAATAATTTGAACAACAGGAAATATATATATATATATATATATATATATATATATGTGTGTGTGTGTGTGTGTGTGTGTGTGTAAGCAGCAAGAATTCAGCTGTTGACAAAACACTGTTTCTTGCATGATCACCAAAGTTAAACAACTTTGAGGATGGTCATACTTAAATGGGTGACCACATGGGATAAGCTTACAGGAAAAAAGATTATTAAACAGAAAAGTTCTGTAGTCTTTAACACACATAGCTGAATTATATATTATATATATTTATATATATGACATTTTTAATATCTTTTATTAAGTGTTTTGTGTATATAATCTAGCTGATATCATTTAGATTATTTTTCGATTTATTTATTTATAATTCCATCTTTTTTGTTATTAAATATCCCACATTGTGATAATAGACCTGCCAAGATTGGTGAAATGTAAGAACCTGGGCACAAATTATTGTGGATGATCTATTTAGCAATTAAAGCACTTTCTATACATTTTTGTCCCAGTAAAGGGTTTTCTCTTTTAATTAGAGGAGCATTTTGTTATATCAAAACTATAGTCAGTCTCATTACAGTAATGCATTTAATATGTTCTTTTGTAAAGGCATACATTCTTCAGGATATTGGTAATCACGGCTCTCCACAATTTCCTGTCCTTGGTAGCTGTTAATAAATTTTGTATTTTGTTTATCTCTCCTAAACCTTGTTCCGCTATCCATTTGCTCAACATACACTAAAATTTTGAGCAGGAACACTTCATAGATTTCTCTTCATGGAAATTACAGGTATTCACAAGAATGCATATGGCCGTTAAGAAAAAAAATACTCAAAGAGCTTTAAGATTGCTGCCAACTTTGTTTTTTTATCAACTATATACATGCATACACAAATTTAACATTCGGATACTTCGATGTGATGTAATGGTTAACAAGCTTGTCTTGCTAAATAAATTATGAGTGAAAAGTGAGTTTGATCCTCACTAGGTGACCTATACAAAAAGGGTTCATTTATGTGGTGTAATGGTTAGCAAGCAAGTCTTGCTAGAGCAATTATGACTGAAATGTGAGTTCAATCCTGCCTAGGTGCACAATACATTCAGCCCTGTGCTACAATTAGAAAATCTGTTTGGCACCTTGAAATGGGATAATGGCTAACAACTTTATCTCGCTTGTGCAGTTATGACTGAAAAGTGAGTTTGATCCTCACTGAGTGCCCCATGCTTTCAGCTTTGTGCCACGTCTAATCTACGCTTAGAAAGTCACCATATTTTGAACACTTTGACTTGGCATAATGGTTAGCAAGTGTATCTCTCTAGATCTACTACAAATAGTGAGTTCAATCCTCACTGGGTGCCGCATACTTTGGGCATTGTGCCACATCTAAGCTACACTTAGAAAGTCACCATATTTTGAATACTTCAACATTGTGTAATGGTTAGCAAGCTAAGTCTCACTACATTCATTACAATTGAATAGTGAGTTCGATCCTCACTGAGTGCCCCATACTTTCGGCCTTGTGTCACATCTAAGCTACGCTTAGAAAGTCGCCATAAACGAATTTAATGCAAATAAAATAAAAATAATTCAATTTCTGTTTAAAATGAGAATATCTTGTATTTCCTTTACATAATTTACTTTTTTACAGTAATGTTCACGCAGTACAAGGCCCGGGGCTACTCGAGGTAGAGGGTTACGTTAAGGGGTAGTTTATATGGATAGGAGGGGAAGATAACGGTTGACTCTCGACTTGAACAGGTTAAGATTGTAATGATCGGGGAAACATCCTCTTGGAAGTCTGTTCCACAGAGCAGTGGTTTGCAGGAGGAAGCTATTTGAGTGGAACTTCTCACCAATGAAAAACGAAAGGAATGAGTATAACATTGCCCTATGTATCATGGTGGGTCCTAGCCTTGAAGATTAGACCTGGCGGAACCAAGAAATGTAGTTCGAGCACTTTCCACAGGAGTAGCGATACAGCAGTGAGAGACCCGCCACATCCCGCTATACTTGCATTAAATCCGTTAATTATCAACAAACAGCTATACAAATTTGAGGGCGTTGCCATATCTTTATATTTCTTCTCCTTCTTTTTATTAATAAGCAAACAGTGAAAACGTACTCTGTGACAATGAGAATAGTGGACACGGATCAACACTAGCGCCGCCATCAATTTTTACCACAAATTAAGTACAAAGACATCCTGCCGCCTCTTTTTCTTACACCAACTGTCACCACCTCAGAGTGCTGACAACAAGACTTGTAATATCTAGCTAAGTAACCCCACTCCCACTCTGCGTACTTTAAAAACATACACAAATCAAAGTTTGGGTGTTGGCGAGGCTGGTTTGTGATAGCCATCTCTAATGTCAAGACGGGCAGCTAGTTGGTAAATGTATCCAGTCTCTGAGAGGTATTTCCGCTATACAATGGCTTCTGAGCGACAAGTGACGGAAGATGACCTTACAGCTTCCTTTCATTCTATTTCACCCCAACGCCACATTTGGTGTAAAAGCATTAATATCTCATTTTCCATTATCTATCTCTCGGAAATATCTCAAGTGAGGATGAAGAGAATTTAGCATCTTTGTAAATGGGTACAAACATGACCACAGCAAGATTTTGTGCCAACATAAAAAAAAAAAAAAATGAAATTATATTTGGTTTTGTAAAATTGAGATAAAAAAAGGATCATTTATGTGCCTGTTAACACCTTCAATGTAAACTTGTAGAAATTGGCACAAGCGCGCGCAGATACATAATTAGAACAACGACGATTCCCCCAAAACGAAATAACATCGGTGGAAAGTTAGCGTGCGGAGGATAAAATGAAGACTAGTTGAGACATTTAAAAAAGGGACGACGTTATCTAACTTAATAATTAGTGGTTTATCGCTGTATTTCTGGGACGAGGAGTTATCATTATTTATATGAGAACTATTATCACAACGTTTTGACTGTTGTGGTCTCCAGCCTTCATCTCGTACTTGTCAATCAGGGTAACTTATAGGAAATTTCAAACCGAGCCCTTAACGGAAATAGATTGATCTTGCTCCGCTGCCCATGATGAAGAAAAATACGCTACAATATTGCCTTGGGTTCAAGTTGTGTGCCAGTGTCGGATTTACCATTACACTTCGGTGTGCTTAAGTACAGAACCCCATTGACCAGGGTGGGCATCTTCCTTCCATGCCTGTGTAGGCATGTCGGCCTCATAACTTAACTAGCACAAGGGCTCATTTGTCCTAAATCCGACGATGCGTGTGCATTACAATTCTGAATACTGGACACGAAAGGGTTTGGTCGTATATAACGAACAGACAAAATCTTCGTTATATATATATATATATATATATATATATATATATATATATATGAAGAAATATACTCTTAAGGTGTGCTATATTTATGGGATAAAGTGCTCAATATGAGAGATAGAGCGTGTGTAAATATAAAAGTGAACATTGAAGTTAACACTTAGAGGCAACAGGCTGTTTCATGATAGACGCAATCAGGCCACGAATGTTTATATATATATATATATATATATATATATATATATATATATATATAAGAAAGCACAAATGAAATATGTCTTTCCCTTACCTGATTTTCTCACAATAGTCCCTGCTAGTATGCATAAGTGTAAAACGAAAGGCACCATCCAATGCTGACCCTCATTTATCGTTCAAGATAGAAAAGTCCATTATACATACATATATATATATATATATATATATATATATATATATATATAAGAAATTTGACAAATGGAAAACGTTTCATTGAAAATGGATTTGATTACGCCTTTCACAATTCAAAGCTTCATCAGATACCAAAACAAAAGAAAGAAATGTGTATGTGTGTGTGTGTGTGTGTGTTTTATTTGCGTGTATGCGTAAATAATGAATCATAGTACTTTTTCCTTAAGCTGGCGTTTCCCGTGATTAAAGAAGAAAGAAAATAAGTGACTTTTAAAAAGGACGTTAATATTTATTCTGCACCATTTTTTTTTTCCTTTATAATTCTTAGTTCATGTCGAAAGTTGTTAATATTTTTTTCCCAGCTTTTTTGTATCGAATTGAAGGCAAATCCTCTTCTCATTTTCAGAATGGCTCGAAAGCAAGAAATTCATTTAGCATTTTCTGAAATCAATCCAAGGCAAATCCTCATATATTCCTTCAAAAAAGGGTTGAAAGTAAAAGATTTATATGTTTCGGGGTCTATCTATGTGTTTTTTTTTCTGTGTCGAAAATATATGTTTAAAATAGTGTATAGATTCAAATGAAAACTTTTCATTGAAAAAAAAATTCATTTTCAAGTTTCTATAGCCTATTTTAAACACACACGCATGTATGTATATATATACTTAATATAGCGCTGCTATATAACATTGAGTACTCTTTTTATAACAGGGGATATATATATATATATATATATATATATATATATATATATATATATATATATATATATAATTATTTTAAAAATAATTTAAAAAAGTAATTATAATTATAGCTCTACTTTGTATGGAACACTGTTTTTAAAATAAAAACAAAAATACTAAAGAACCTCGGATTATTAAGCTAACGTGTTCTTTTTTTCCTATTTTTCTATATATTTACACACACACACACACACACACACACAGACATATATACATATATATATATATATATATATATATATATATATATATATATATATATATATATATATATATAATGTATTATATATAACTATATGTGCGTATGCGTATGTTTTTATCATACCCATAATATGGACCAATAATATTCATGATTCTCATATATATATATATATATATATATATATATATATACAGAGAGGTGTATATATATATATATCTAAAGAGAGGGGGGAGAAGGTGAGAGAAGGATAGCAACTATGTAAGTGTATATTGATAACCCGATTATATTACATAACTTAAAATGTCTGAATCGTAATCGTTCGCTCTGTTCCATCATGGAATTCTACCTATGTTAGAAAATGTATATTAAGCGAGGTCGGCGGGGGGGGGGGGTATTGATTGCAAGAATTAGACACATCGTCTTTTACTTTTGGCCTCTTTTGCAAATACGCAACCTGAGATCCATCAAAGCGTTGCTCTGACTTGCTTACAAAGCGCACTCACGAAAAGATCTCACGTTAACGATTTTTCAGATGCTTTCTGATGCTTTCGTTGATGGGCGGAGGATGAAGTCTGATGCCGGTTGCAGTCTTATAGCGGAAGCGGATAGTAAATTGAAATGCACGGTTCGTTGAAGCTTATAGCGGAAGCGGTTGGCAGTCATTGAAGCTTATAGCGGAAGCGGATAGGGGTAAATTGAAGTCTGATGCACGGTAGCAGTCGTTGAAGCTTATAGCGGAAGCGGATAGGGGTAAATTGAAGTCTGATGCCGGGTAGCAGTCGTTGAAGCTTATAGCGGAAGCGGATAGGGGTAATGATGCGGAAGTCGTTCGCTTATAGCACGGTAGCAGTCGTTGAAGCTTATAGCGGAAGCGGATAGGGGTAAATTGAAGTCTGATGCCGGGTAGCAGTTGTTTACGCTTATAGACAAAGCGGATAGGGGTAAATTGATTTCTGATAGGGTGGGGTAGTATTTGTTGGTGCTTATAGACGAAGTGGAGGCAGATGGAAATAAACTGACCTCAGATGTTCACTGGGTAGCAGTTTTTGAATCTTATAGGTGAAGCGGAGGCGAATAGGGGTAAATTGAAGTCTGGTGGCCGGGATAGCAGTTGTTGAATCTTATAGCTGAAACGAAGGAGGGTAGGGGTAAACTGGAGTCTGAGGGGGTAAAGCCTATATTTGTGGGACGGGCAAAAAGCCAACTGTGTTGATATTCATTCATTTGGTTGCTTCGAATTTTACACGTAGACAAATAACGGTGAAAATATCCGTTTCCTTACAAGGAAACATTCGAATAGCGTTACTGTCCACTGTCATCGGGTTTTTTTTTGTGGGGGGCATTTATTGACCAAACAGTTTCGGTTACTGTCGGTCGAAGTTCATAAAATTTTTCCCTTGAAAGAATTTTTCAGGAAAATAGGTTTCTCAAGTATAGTAGGTATTTACTCTGCCTCCCCACTAAGACGAGTTGTCTTCTTTTTTAAGTAAGGCACCCGAGCGCGTACACCCGGACCAGGAACAAAAATTACCCGCTGGCCTTGGTGCTATACTAAAATTGTTATAAATGATCCATACACTAGTATGAAGTGCTTAGCGTTTACTAATTCCACATCTTGAATGCTTAAGAAGGATTCAGGTGATGATCTCACTAAAGGCAATGTTGGCAGACCAAAAAGAATTAAACAGTACTGTAAATGGTAATTGTAATAATAGCCGTTTCTTTATAAGGAATCATTCAGTATTCATTGACCAAGCAGCCAGTACTACTGTCGGTTAAAACTCATAAAATCTTTCTCTTGAAACAGTTTTTCAGGGAAATAGACTACTAGAAAGAGGGATAACAGTTCGTGGACTTAACTTTTATCCCTCTTTCTAGTAGTGATGGGAGTTTCGGCAAATATGGACAACCGTGCTCGCAGTAAGACGTAGCATCAAAATGACGCCTTTTCCTGTGACACCGCTATTATTTTAACTACCTTCACTCTTCGTCAAGGTTTATTGTTTTAAAAAGCGACAATTAGAATTGTAATAAAACCTAAACATTTTTTTTTAGTTGCTGTTGTTCTGGAGAATTGATATCAAAAATATAAAACACTATTTATTTATTGTATTGTTTAGTGGAATGGTTGGCAGAACATCAGCTAATTGCCAACTGATTCAAGTTTTATAAAATGGTAGATAATAAGGATTTACTTTTACTTTATTTAATTAGTTCATATATTTTTGTAATTTAGTAAATATTTATAAATTTATGAATAAATATTTTCATATTTATTTCTTTATAAATTGGTAAAAGAAAACTATGCATTTGTTCTTTATCATGTAATTTTAATACAATTGTCTTTTTATTGATTGATTTTACTGTTTATCAACCCTTTGCAGGTTATTTGACACCATGAAATATTTTGGATTGTAAGATTTTTTTAAGGTAATAATCATTTAATGATATAAATCTTACTAATTAACCCATAGCTATAAGGAACCCAACTGAAATTGCACTTCGAAAGGTGGTTCCCGGTGTCGCGCCAGAAAGATTTTCTCGCCCGAGTCCATCCTTCAAATCTATAAATCAACCATTCGCCCTTGCATGGAATACTGCTGCCATATATGGTCTGGAACCCCTGCTGTTTGTCTTAAGGTCCTCGACAAAATCCAGAGACGGATATGCAATGTAATTGGCCCTGATCTGGCATCTCGTTTACAGTCACTCTCTCACAGACGTGCCGTCGCTACCCTCTGTCTTTTCTACAAATACTTTCACGGTAACTGCCCCGACAAGCTACTTTCGCTAGTTCCCAAACTGGATGAATTTAAACGTGCCACTAGGTCAGCATCTCAGTCCCATCCTTTCACTGTCGAAACGGTAAAATGTAGCCGTCTCTTCTACTCCAGTAGCTTCATGTCTCGCTATTCCCATCTGCGGAACTCCTTACCTCTTAATTGCTTCCCTGATAACTATAATCTCCAACTATTCAAATGCAATGTCAATCGATATCACCAGATGCCTTGATCTATTCCCCGTCCTTCTCTTCATCCTTTCCTCTATCACGACTCTTTACTCTTGCTCCCATTCTCTGTAACCCCTTGCAAGCTAGTGGTACTCCCGCCTTGCTTGGGGTGAAATGCTTAAAAAAAAAAATTTCGAGCCATTATCTAATACAACATCCGCACATCCAAACTTAAAGTATCGGTATTCCCAAGCAGTCACCCATCTAGGTACTGACCAGGCTCAACGTTGCTTAACTTATCCATTACACCATCCGTACATCCAAGCTTACAGCATCTGGTATTCCCAAGCAGTCACCCATCTAGGTACTGGCCAGGCTCGACGTTGCTTAACTTCGTTGATCGTACGAGAAGCGGGTTTCAACGTGATGTGGCCGTAAGCCAGTGCGACTAGTTAAAAGCAGTGACGTCGTAGACATGTGAGACCCAATTGGAAGTTAAACCTGTTTGCCGTGTAAAGCGATTTTGTAAACGAACGGGAAATTTCGACAACTGATGCTAATGATGATGTAGAGGATGGGGGGGGGGGCATGCTAATTAAATGCCAAGAGCGGGCCTCGTCATTTCCAACTGTTTTTCTTGGTAAAGCAATTCAGCTGGAATTGGATCGAGGAGTGTGGACATTTACAACAATTGCATGGAACATGAATACTAGATTAAAGGAGATGCACGCTGGGGGAACGGGCGGTTGGGTGGAGGAGAGAGGTGGCCTGAACTGATGGAGAAGAAGAGACAGGACGAAGGTGAGAGAAAAAGGGAAAGGAGGAGGGAGACAGCAAAAGAGGAAAGAGAAAGAAGGAAGTGAAAATAGAGAGAGAAGAAAAAAGAAAGAGGGAAGAGAAAAAGAGAAAGAAGGGGAGATAAAAAAAAAGAAAAAAGGGGGAAGAAAAGAAAAAACAGACTGAAAAAAAGGAAAGAGAAAAATGGAGGAGGGAGAAAGCAAATGGGAAAGGAAGAAGTGAAAATAGAGAATGAAGGGGGAGAGAAGAAAAAGAGAAAGGAGGAGGAGAGAAGAAAATGAGAAAAAAGAGATAGAGAGAAAAAGAGAAAAAAAGGAGAGAGAGGAAGAAAGAAAAAAGAATATGAGAGAAAGGGAGAAGAAGAGAAAAAACAGAAATAACGAAGGAAAAGGAAAAATGGAGGAGGGAGGAAGCGAAAATAGAGAAAGCAGAAAATAATGAGGAGGAGGGGGAGGAGGAAAGAAAATAAGAAAAAGAGACAGAGAAAAAAGAGAAAGGGGGAGAGAAAAACAGAAAGAACGAAAGAAAGAGAAAGCATAAGTGAAAAGAGGAAATAGAGCGAAAAGAAAAATAAGGGGGACAGAAGAAAAAGAGATAGGAGGAGGAGGAGAGACAAAAATAAGAAAAAGGAGATAGAGACAAAAAGAGGAAGAAAGGGAAAGGAGAGCAAAAAGAAAGGGGGAGAAGAGAAAAACAGAAAGAACGAAGGAAAGAGAAAAATAATAAAGGAGAAAGCAAAAGTGAAAAGAGGAAAGAGAAGAAAGAAAGAAAGAAAGAAAGAAAGAAAGAAAGAAAGAAAGAAAGAAAGAAAGAAAGAGGAAGTGAAAAAGAGGAAGGAAAAGATACAAGGTAGAAAAAACGAAGAAGAAAGAAGTAAAAGGAATGAGAGAAAGAAAAAGGGAAGAGAAAGGGGGTAAGAAAAAGTGAAGGGAAAGGGAGTAAGAAAAGAGAAAGGAAAAGGGAGAAAGAAAAAGGGAAGGGAAAGGGAGAAAGGAAAAGAGAAAGGAAAAGGGAGAAAGAAAAAGGGAAGGGAAAGGGAGAAAGGAAAACAGAAAGGAAAAGGGAGAAAGAAAAAGGGAAGGAAAAGGGAGAAAGAAAAAGGGAAGGGAAAGGGAGAAAGAAAAAGAGAAAGGAAAAGGGAGAAAGAAAAAGGGAAGGGAAAGGGTGAAAGAAAAAGAGAAAGGAAAAGGGAGAAAGAAAAAGGGAAGGGAAAGGGAAAAAGAAAAAGAGAAAGGAGAAGGGAGAAAGAAAAAGGGAAGGGAAAGGGAGAAAGAAAAAGAGAAAGGAAAAGGGAGAAAGAAAAAGAGAAAGGAAAAGGGAGAAAGAAAAAGAGAAGGGAAAGGGAGAAAGAAAAAGGGAAGGGAAAGGGAGAAAGAAAATAGTCCGAAGGGTAAATAAGTATTGCAGTCCAATAAGAAGAAGTGAGGGGAACAGGAAAATAGAGGAAGAGAGAGAGAGAGAGAGAGAGAAATAGGAATTTAGTGAGAAAAAAGAGAGAGATGAAGGGAGGGGGAAAAGAGAGAGAGAGAAAGAAAAAAAGTCCGAGTGGGGAATTAAGTAAGAAGAAGTGGTAAGTGGAGAAAGAGGAAATGAAGATTGTGAGGAATAGGAAGAGAGAGAAGAGAAGGAGTGAGAGAGAGAGAGAGTGAGAGAGAGTGAGAAAGAGAGAGAGAGATAAAATAATGATGATAAGGAGATTAAAAAGAAACCGGACAATAATAAGTATTTCAGTAAAGAAGAATAAAAGTTAATTGGAAAAGGAAATGAAAGAGAAATAATGAAGAAAGAGAAAATTAAAAGCCAAACCAGAGACAATACGATGACTACCTGTCGAGGGGGAGAGAGGAAGAGGGGAGGAGAGAGAGAGAGAGAGAGAGAGAGAGAGAGAGATGTGTTTTTTGTAAAGAAACAAAAGAAACAAATAGTGGAAATTAGTTTGCCAATTTAATGCTCATTCAGTAAACGGTGCCTAATTAACCGGAAATGGGTGTGTCGATGTTGTGGGAGGGGAAGTAAATAATTTTCCTTACTTACCACCCAGCCACCCGTTCTTGTGACCCACCCACAGCGCCGATTCTGAAAACGGTTTTCGCGTAGCGAGAAGCCGCTGGTTAAACGTACAACAAAAACGAAGAACGCATTCATTTTCGTTTGTCTCAAGAAAATCAATAAGGATTCTACTTGACATTTGCTTACATCTGCACACATTTTTAGAGGAAAAAAATTGCAGATTAGAGTATTCTTTTAGAGAATCAAATCACCCCAAGCAAGGTTATAAAGCCACTAAGACACAATAGGTTACTGTGGATAAAAGAAAATACTTTTGCATTAACCATTTTTTGAAAATAGCAATGATATCTGGAGAGACAAGTGGTTTCAGATTTCTATATGCGATTTCATCATATTTTTTGAAGCCCAAGACCTGTGGAGATATCCTCCCAGGATTTACCTCTCCTTCGAGAGGGGGGGGGCTGATTTCGAAAATTTCGCAACACCCCTCGGCACAGCCAAATAAACCCACTTAAAAACCAACGACCACGTGTCACATCTGGTTACGTAGTGCGCGCGCTGGTAGATATCGATCTGGGATTTCCTCATATATTATTACCAAGCCACAGCACAAGCCCCAGAGTTCCACCCCCAGGCTTTACTTCTCCCTCCGGAGGGGTCTGAGTTACCTGCCTGGTGCCAAAAAGGGAAGTGCCGAAGTGGGCATTTTCCGATAAACCCACTTATAAAAAAACACGACCTTGTGTCACATCAGGTTACGTGGTAGGCGCGCTGGCAAATACCTATATGGTATTTTGGTATTTAAGGGATCTGATATGTGTTTAGTATTTATTACTTCTACGTTCTGAATTTTAAGTTGGGTTAAGAGTATGTACGATTTTGGCTTACATTTTATTTGCAGACCATAATTTCTGTATCTGCCTTTATTTCTGAGATGAGGCATTATGTACACTATTTACATTATTCGGACTATTGTCCTCATCTTTGTCACCATATTTACTACAACGTTTCGGTTTTGGAGTGTTGAACTGAACCCTTTATTTCGCTCACTAGGGTAGACTGTTCTAGTTCCACGTGCCATGTTTAATGGATGTCAGTTATCTCCTGTTAATTCCCCTCTCCAAGTTCTCCACTGAATTCACAACCCTTTGGGTCCTGTCACTGGATCTAACTAATGCCTTTATCTACTATACCATGTGTCCTTGACGACACATGGCACAGAACTTGGAGAGGGGAATTCCAACCACCTGAAAAAGGCCGGAGCGTACAACGGCCGAAACGATGTGATAAAAACGGTATTATAAACCTAATGTCATCTTTTTTTACCAGTGCTCATATTGCAATTTTCTCTGACACTCCTTATTAGTGGTTCCCATACTGTATTCATTTCTATGCTCGGTCGGCTCAGGAGATTTTTGTGTCATAGCATATGTGCTGATTCTTTAAGTTTACGAATTTTCCAATGGTGTTTTGTCTATGATCTCAACCTGAAGGCCGAAGCGTACAACGGCCGAAACGTAATAAATATGGCGACAAAGATGAGGACAATAGTCCGAATATTGTAAATAGTGACCATAATTTCTGTTTTGGAAAAAATTATCGTAAGTCCTACTTGTTGGAAGGAGTCACTACTACATCAGGCAGTTCGCTGCCAGTCTTGCGACAGATTTGTCGAACTCTTTGCTTTCGGGCGGAGAGGAACCCAGAAGAGTCTCGTCTTGGGAGATAGACAAACCCGATCATGTGCTATATCCCTCCTTAGGGGGAGGATTGGATAAATATCAGTCCTATTTGTTGGAACATTCGGTAAACAATGTTGATTTTTTTTTTAATCAAAATCATTCTTATCCCAGCTGTGATTAGCATCATCAGCATAGGTTTGGTTTGGTTTGTTTTACATATCAAACTCAATGGATTATTTAATGCCGACAAAATTTTTATTGCTGGTAACTTTTTTTTTTCAAAAATGTATAGCTGGTAATGGTTTTTTTTTTGCAAAATATATTGCTGGTAATAATGTATTGCCGGTAATAATTTTTCTTCAAAAATTTACTGCTGGTAATAATTTACCCATAGCTGGGACCCTAACAGGTGCTACCACCCCGGGTCAGGATGGACCTGGGATCACCAGCAATTAAGAGGTGTTTCCACGCTCCTCAAAACCTACTGATCAGAGGACTTGCTGTTAGACGTAGTCTATCGTCTTACCCAGGATGCGGATGTAGTTTATCGTCAAACCCAAGATGGTTATCAGCATCTTCATCATAAGTACAATGGTCTTTGGAGGGAAAACAAGAGCGCTAATTTTTTTATCGGTTTCACCCCATGCAAGGCCACTCAGACACAAGGGGTTATAGGGTGTGGAAGAATTAGGAAAAGAAACATTAATAATGAGCGGGAAGATAAAATAGTAATGAGGAGAACAGTACATAGAGATTGACATTGCATTTAATTTTTTTGCAGATTAATATTGGCTAGAAAGCATGAACGTAAAACAAATCGCAAAATACCAAGTTCAATTCCTACTAGATATTCCACACTTACGACCTTGCATCGAACGAAGCTAAAATTAGTAAATATAAATGACTATTGACCAATTTCTATGTACGGACGTAAAGAAAGTTAACTACTTGTAATTCCCCAATATCCCCACACCCTACGCCATCTTACGTACACGGCAGTTAAGAAAGTCACAACAATGAGTCTATGCGGGGGTGGGTGGGGGCTAGCTGAGTTAACAACAGAAAGAAACGTCACAAAAGACAGAGTATTGGTCATGGGGGTTGCAAAGGTGAGGAGAGAAAACGGAACGAAGGTAAATGCTTCTGCTTCTATTCTGAGTAATCATTGGGGAAAAACAATTATCGGTTAAAGCTGATGAATAAGTGACTCAGTAAAACATATGGGGGTCATTTATAACAAATCGAGAACATCGATGAGCACCGACAGGAAATGTCTTAAAGGTGAATGTTGGGCAGGTGTTTAAAAAAATAAATAAATAATGATAATAAACATTGACTACTGTTTTCAGATTGATAGGACTATCCTTGACCATGGATTTGACGTCCACCTCTTTTAGTGAGACAATTTCACCACACCAAGACCACTTAAGTGGTGTTAATAACAGTCCGTAAAGAGTGTCGATGCTTTTAAGCTAGCCACTGAATCGGCTCCCTTCACCATGTCCATTGAAAAAAAAAATGACGAGGCTGCTTACTAACGGACAGTAACAAAAATAAACAGTCAATGACTTACACTCAGGTCACAATAAAAGCACCAGTTCTTGTCTGACCGCCGAAGTTAAGCAACGTCAAACATAATCAGTATTTAGAAAGGTGACCGCTTACTAAGTATTGCAACCAATTTGTGGTCTTATAATAGTGGCTCGGATTGATGTATCGGAGAGCCGAGTTCGAATTCATTACACAGAGTTATGTGCTAATACCCCTGGGAAAGGTATAAATCCATCTCTCCCCACCCCCAACTATAGGTAAAATAGCAAAAACAGGTTGTTTCCTATAGCCTTGAGTAGCAGCCAGTCTAGGAGAAGAAAAACTCTGAATTCAAACCAGCTTGGAGAGGGTTGGGCTCCGTCAAGCTAGCTTATCCAGTAAACACCCCTGCTGCAACGGCTTCAGTGCACATGGTGCCCCTTAGACCCTAATGAATTACAAATCTCGTGATTACACTAAGCAAATTTTACGAAATAATATCTTCTTTCATTTTTTTATGACCCTTCAAGACGTTTCTTTATTTTTTAATTATAAGTTGCCACGCATTCTTGAGAAGGATAGTGAAGTGATTACCTATTATCTATCTATATTTCTGAGATGACGTATTATGTACACTATTTACATTATTCGGACTATTGTCCTCATTTTTGTCGCCATATTTATTACAACGTTTCGGCCGTCGTACGCTCCAGCCTTCTTCAGGTGGTAGCGAAATAAAGGATTCAGTTCGACATTCCAACTACCTGAAGAAGAGGAGGACAACAGTCCGAATAATGTAAATAATGTGATTACCTATTGTCTTTATGTTTTTAAATTCAAGTTTTCTTTCTCTTAGAGTGGTTTTCACCCAAGGCTAGAGGGTGCAGTTTACCCTGCTATTTAAACCTAGAGTTAGGAGTGGGGAGAATAGATGGACTCGTACCTTTTTCTAGGGATATTAGGGAGAAAGTGAATTCAACAAGCTATCCTGGAATTTGAACTCCTTTCGCCGATTTTATTTTTATATCCATTAACCATCCTTTTTTAGCTCATGGTCCACTTTGAACCATGAATTTTTCTGTGGTCCATTTAAATATTATAACGTAAAAAATTACCTTCCATTTTGTGGCCTAAGAGCGGTGGCCAATATATTAGCTTGGTAGCCCAGTAAAAGTTATAAAAATTTCTTTGGTCCACCTGAAAATTTTCCACGGCCCATTTTGGCCATAGGTTGGGAATTACTGCGTTACACTATTAGATGACCAAAAATGTTGCACTTATCTTTTTATAATAAAAAAGACAGTTAAATATTTCTAATAGCAACAATGTCGTAATGTCTGAATAAATTTACTATCTATGCAAGTTATTCCTTTCTTGAAATGTGTATACATTTTGGGGCGGTGTATATATATATATATATATATATATATATATTTATTAAAGACATTTTTTTTATGTTTAACGTTGTTATTTTATAGATACAAGTATTTAAGCAAATGCTCTGTTTATGATAAACAGTATTAAATAACATTTACCGAGAAATTTTCATAGAAAATATTCGTTCATTGACAGGATTCGAACCTGCATCCTATACGGAACCGTCATTTACGCTGACGTGCCTTACCTCTGGGCCACAATGGTAGACAAGGTCGAATTTACTGTTTATAAACTACAATCTTCCATGAATCTCGTACATTCATAACTGCTCTGGCGTATCGAATGTAAACAAATGACGTCATATGTTAAGAAATGGACAAGGTCCGACAATTTATTTATTAAAGACATTTTTTTTTATGTTTAACGTTGTTATTTTATAGATACAAGTATTTAAGCAAATGCTCTGTTTATGATAAACAGTATTAAATAACATTTACCGGCCTGAATGTCCGAGAAATTTTCATAGAAAATATTCGTTCATTGACAGGATTCAATAAATATTTCTAATAGCAACAATGTCGTAATGTCTGAATAAATTTTTACATTTTTTTTATGTTTAACGTTGTTATTTTATAGATCTATGCAAGTTATTCCTTTCTGCATCCTATACGGAAATGTGTATACAATTTTGGGGCGGTGTATATATATATATATATATGAATATATTTATTAAAAGACATTTTTTTATGTTTAACGTTGTTATTTTATAGATACAAGTATTTAAGCAAATGCTCTGTTTATGATAAACAGTATTAAATAACATTTAAAATCCTATACGGATTTTATCGTCATTTTCCTTTCTTGAAACGTGTATACCTGTATATACCTCTATATACAATGAATTTTTTTTTATGGTAGACAAGGTCGAATTTACTGTTTATAAACTACAATCTTCCATGAATTAACATTTATACGGAACTGTCGTACATTCATAACTGCTCTGGCGTATCGAATGTAAAACAAATGACGTCATATGTTAAGAAATGGACAATGTCCGACAATTTATTTATTAAAGACATTTTTTTATGTTTAACGTTGTTATTTTATAGATACAAGTATTTAAGCAAATGCTCTGTTTATGATAAACAGTATTAAATAACATTTACCGGCCTGAATGTCCGAGAAATTTTCATAGAAAATATTCGTTCATTGACAGGATTCGAACCTTGGTAGACAAGGTCGAATTTACTGTTTATAAACTACAATCTTCCATGAATCTCGTACATTCATAACTGCTCTGGCGTATCGAATGTAAACAAATGACGTCATACCATAAGGTTCATTGTGGCCCAGAGGTAAGGCACGTAAATGACGGTTCCGTATAGGATGCAGGTTCGAATATATATATATAAAGTCGGTCTCAAAATTCTGTCGGGTTTCGATCATAGACGTCTAGCTACACTGATGAGCTGTAATAGAGAGAGAGAAAGAGAAGGAAATGAGAGAGAGAGAAAAAGAAAAGGAAATGAGAGAGAGAGAGAGAAAGAGAAAGAAAAGGAAATGAGAGAGAGAAAGAAAAGGAAATGAGAGAGAGAGAGAGAGAGAGAGAGAGATAAGGAAAAACCCAAACTTCAAATCTCGGAAATAAATTTTTAATCAACAAGTTTTATAAATACGGAAATGTTGATTGCTGTTAGACATTAATTTCCTGCACATTTTTAAATCTAAGCTTATTATTATTATTATTAATTAATCCAGGAAAGTTTAAAATAAATTTTCAATCAGTTTTTAATGATTTTATTCCAGAAAGAAGTTGAAGGTTGCAAACGTGTCACAATTGTCGCACAATGATTTTAAAAACATTGACATATGACATTTCCCTGTCTGTCTGTGGATGACAATATATATATATATATATATATGTGTGTGTGTGTGTGTGTGTGTGTGTGTGTGTGTGTGTGTGTGCACTTGCGTGAGATTTACTGTAAAATTAGCGTAACTGTGTAAATTGTCAATGCGGTAGTTATTGAAATTTGAAATAGTTATAATCGATTAACGGTACATGCTTATGCGATCATGTCTCTCTCGATTCATGACTGACTAGGCAGAAGGCTATTTTTTCCGCAGTAGAATGCCGTTTTTTTCCTGTAGTAGACTGCTTGCCAACCAAGGCTATAGGACCCAGTCTGTCCTGCTATTCAACTCATAGCTTCTAAGGAAGAGATGGATTTATAACTTTCGTAGAGATATTTGCCCGTACGTGAATGCAATGAACTCGACTGGAATTCGAACTCGGTTCCCAGATTTCTCATTCTGAGCCGTTAGCCATTACGCAACAGCGTGCATCCTTGGAAGCTAAAACTGGTGATAGCCATTAATAATAATGTTTGCAATTACAATATTTCTTTTTAATGCTCTGTTAAGAAGCATCGCCTAAAACAGTTTGGTCATAATTAGAAAATTATTCTGGTAACATGGCGGATACGTAAAAAATATTTATTTGTATCAGTTAATTTCTGTCTGCATTTCGGGGATGATTGGTTTGTTTTTTTGTTTTGTTTTTTTAACGATATATCAACTGGCTATGGATTGTTTAACGACATATCAACTGGCTATGGATTGTTTAACGACATATCAACTGGCTATGGATTGTTTAACGACATATCAACTGGCTATGGATTGTTTAACGATATATCAACTGGCTATGGATTGTTTAATGCCGAAATTTTATTCTCTGAGATTTGATAATTTTTTTCCAATAATATATTGCTGGTAATTTGTTTTATTTATTTATTTATTTTTTTACTATGAAAATGTATTATTGTTCATTTTTTTCTAAAGAATTTTTATGTTTTCATGTTTTGATCCCAGTTTTGGGGTTCACTGTTTGCCCATAGCGGGGACCCTAACAGCTGCTACCACCCTGGGTCAGAGTGGACCTGAGAACAATAGCAATTAAGAGGTAGATCCACGCTCCTCAAAACCTCCTGATCAGAGTTTCTGGAATAAGAAGTTATCCTTATTTATACTATTTACATACAGGCTATTGTCTTCATCTTTTCTGGGTAACATTTTTCACTTTGCCGCCGATGTAACATAACTTCTCTGTGCCTTTTCTATAATATTTTCATGGCGATTGTTCTGATGAGCTTTCGTCTTTGGTAAAATATTGTAAATATTCACTGGGCTTTCATTTTTAAAATTGTTATTTTTATCCCCCTCCTTAGACAAATTGTACATATGAGAACTAGTTAGGACTTTATAGAGACTTTTAGGTATTATGGTGGCTGTAGTAAGAATGTATTGTTTTGGTGTAGGGAATACAGTGGTATGTTTGGTTCAGTAATCGTGGCTAGCTAAGTTTAAGACAGATTGAAGACCACCCTTCCTCTATCCCTCCTTTTTGTATTTTTTAAAATAAATATCGCTTTCCTCTTTGGTACTACGACTATGAATTTAAGCGTAGTACTAGATTGGCAGCTAGGTCCCATTATTTCTTTCTCATATATATTCTTGGGAAAGTCAATAGTCCACATGTAAATGGTTTTGCTATGAAGCATATCCACGCAATGTTCATAAAGTCTGAGGTTTCGCCGATGTATGTTATTGAGCATTTTGTACAATTTATTTTGTATATTCCTGCCTCTGTCCTGTTGTTGTTGCTATCTCGTTTGGTACTAACTGTTGCTTCCATCAAAACAATAAAATAAAATACGGAATAATCATAGGCTTTTATTTAAGAGCCCTCAGAATCTGTAGCCTCCAATTCCTGCTCAAAGAAGAGAAATACATTGAAACCACTTTCAAACTCCTCCAATACCCGAATTATTTCCTGCATAATGACAAAAGCCTACAAAATTCAAAATAATAATAATCCAAACAACTACAACACAAGTCACCATCGAAAATAACTTTCCCAACCCAACCTAAAATTCCTCTGCACCATCTCTAAAACAATAAGAGATATAGTTAGCTGCAACAAGATTCCAACAACAGGACAAAGACTGGAATATACATAATATATTGTACAAAATGCACAATAATCTCCATCGGCGAAACATCTAGAAAGTTAAAAAAAAAAAAACACAAAAAAAAAACATGTAAATAGTGTAATGTACCGGTAAATGTTGGCAAAATAGTTCCCCCGTCCCCAAGAAAGGCCAGGCATTAATCAGCCACGTGTTGGCGGTTTTCGAGAAGATAGCTTCCCTCGTCGTGTCAGTCGAAAAGCTTCGAAGTACTTCCTGAAAAATGTCGTTGACCGTAGGTTAGGGGCGACCGCAACATAAGTGCCTGTCCATATGGGTAAACATGCCCGTTCGAAACAGTCAGAAGGAGGGCCGGTCGCTAACCCAAATCCCGATCAAGAAGTCATTTATTTGTTAGCAAAGACGGCAGGGTAACGCCGCTCTGTTATCAGACAAATATAGCCGGGTCATAATAGATTAGTCGGCAGGTAAGCAGACGTCAGTGGCACAGGAAGTTTATCGTGGACAGACAATAGACAAGTGCTTCCAATTTGGACACTGCTGATAGCTAGCATTTAAGAACGTTTTGGGCGGAGATATAGAGAGGAAGGGGTGGTGTGATTCGTTTAAAATTGATCGGGAATTCTTTCCGGCGTATGTTGTTATTGCTTCTTCGCTGTCGGGTGATTGCTTACCCAGAGTGCAAATTTTACAGTCAAGGAAACGTAGCGGGAATTGTGAACGGTAACATAAAAATTGGCTTTCCTTGCAGCAGGAATAGAGATTTCTTTAAATGGTAGAACGGACAGCAATGCCAAAGACCTTGTGAATTTTGAAAGTATTTGCCGTTTTTAAGGGCGATTCCATACATTGGTCTACTTTTGACTTTTATATATATATATATATATATATATATATATATATATATATATATATTATAAATTAATTGATTTAAAATGTTTTTTTCGCTACACAGTTCTAACCATGTTTCAAAAATGGAAGCTAAAAGCCCCGAATTTAATTTTGTAATTAAATTAAAGACATTAGTTCCATTTCATCCTCAAGCGAATTTTGGGGTAACTTTTAAAATTACTGGGTTTTAAATACACAGCTAAAACAAAATTCATATAAATCTATTTTGCTAGACAAGGGGTGACTGAGTGTTCAATATGTCTATATTTTAATGTATCAGGTATTGCTGCGTTTTGGTAGTGGGTAGGGATGTATTTTTCAATGAAATCTAACATCCGTTAAAAGCGTGTCGTCTGGATTTTTAAAAAAAATTTATTGTTAACGGCTAAAATTCTTACGGCATTTTTTTATTCGTATATTTAAAGATTTGGTGGGGTGGGTGTTTAGGTAAGAATACTTTTTATTTAACTACGATTTTAAATATTTTTACTTTTAATTTTTAATATACTATATTTCTTTCAATAACAATTAAATGTAATTAGAATCCCTTACAGTTTGTAGAATTATTATCACATCAAGTATATTACGATTTTTAAAATTTTATATTTAAATATTATTTAAGTAAAATTTTCATTTCTCTGATTTAGTAAACTTTATTTATTTATTTAATTGAGCACTATTTTGTAAAAATAAAAATATCTATAAGAACACCGGATTATATATCTTACTGTTCTTTCTTTTTATTTACATACATATATATATATATATATATATATATATATATATATATATATATATCAGTTATATGCCATGCGTGATACACGCTTAGTCGATCATGCATATTTTGATACATGACTGACGGGGCAGATATTTTTTCCCGCAGTAGGTTGCCATTTCTTTCTTCAGTAGACCAGTTGCCATCCAAGGCTATAGAACCCGGTCTGCCTTGCTATTCCCCCATAGCTGGCAGGAGAAGAAGAGGATTCATACCTTTCCCAAGGGTCAGTCAGTCAGTTATGTTCCATGCGTGACGATACATGACTGACGAGGCATTTTTTTCGCGGTATGTTGCCAGTTCTTTCGGTGCTAGATCAGTTGCCATCCAAGGCTATAGAACCCAGTCTGTCCTGCTATTTACCCATAACTGTTGGGAGGAGAAATGGATTTATACCTTTCCCAAGGGTATTAGCACGTAAGTGAATGTAATGGAATCGACTGGAATTCGAACTCGGCTCTCCGATTTCTCAATCCGAGCCGCTATCCATTACTTATTTAATGACACTTATATCTGGTCGTAAGTTCGGGGTTAGTTCAATAAGTATGTCGTTAAGTGAAGAGTGCCTGTATTTGAATAACATAATATCCAATATATTAGATAAAATGTTCTATGTTGATAAAGATTCCCTGATATTCTATAATTATCACGAATCTTTCAAAGGTACAAAAAGAAATTCTGTATAGCTCGGATTTCTTATTCAATGAAATTTTAAATCTGGTCGTAAGTTCGGGGATCGTTCAACAAGCATATATATATATATAATTTATTTATTCAAAAATTATAACATAAACGTTATAATATCACTACAAAAATAGCCATTTTGTTTCAACACTGTCTTATCAATTGATGGTGTTGAACGTAGAACCTAGTTTCTACATTCAGCAGCATCACCTGATAAGATACCAGTTGTGTTGAAACAAAATGTCTATTTTTGTAGTGATTTTATAATATATTTATGTTATAATTTTTGAATAAATAATATTTGCTCTAACCTGTATTGAGCACTCTTTTAAGAATAGTATTTTTGTTTATTAGAATTTATTCCGTCTACAATCCTAATTTTATATATATATATATATATATATATATATATATATATGCAGGGTATGCAACTACCTATTAGAGGGACATGAATTTCAGTTCAAAGACGGATCAAAATTCAAAATTAAAAATGATTTCTCATGTAACTCAAAAAATTTAATATACATAATTACATGCAAAGGTTGCCATGAGTATTACATTGGCGAAACCGGCCAGTGACTCGCGCAAAGGATGACAGTTACCCGCCGGCAAATTAGGGAGCCCCACACCAGAAAAACACCCCTTAGCCAACATATAGAGGAATGTGGAGGACAAAACCTGCAAAGTTTTAGTGTCTTCCCATTCTACCATTGCAACTACAGAACCACTGAACAAAGGCGGATTAATAAGGAAATATTTTTCATCAACAAGCTCAAACCCATATTTAATTCATTGCATAAATAGATTCTACCAAATTCCCCTTGCCATAAACGATATATATAACCAGTTACGCCCCTTGATTTTCATTTTTTTTTTCATTTGTTCAAAGCATAAGCATCAACACGTGGAGATAGAAACCGTTAATAACTTTTTGAAAAGCTAAGCGAAACCGGTTAAAGTAAAGTAAAGAAGTTTAAAAAAAAGGGAAAACAAATCATTTTTCTAACAAAAAAAAAACACTGAGAATTCAATTGTAAGTAACAAAGTTTTAATTCTTGTCTGTAAAAATTCATATATTATAAATAAAAATCACTATATTAAATATTAAGCGCCTTTTTTGCCAATCCCCATACAATAAGTTTTTGTACAGAATCTTTCTAACAAAAAAATTAACAGTATCTGGTACACTGTATGCTTAAAACATCTGTAAATCTTACCATTCTGAGTGGGTGGCGTGTTACTTTTGGCGATAATGAAACATATATAACGCGACACGCACACCTTGGCTGTGTAAAGAGAAGGAAACGTATATATTGTGATAAAACAAAAACAAAAACACAAGAAAGTTTTCTTTGAAATGTCTCTTCTTGTTCCCACACCATAAGCAGACAACTCGACGTAAATATATGAATAAATAGACATTGAGATGAAGTAAGAATTTGAAAAGCATGTTCCCTTTGATATGTTTGGATTGGTAGATAATGGATTATCCCATCACTAGATTATATTCTCCCCCCAACCACCACCACCACTGCTTCCTCAAGTTGGTGGCGGTGCTGGTGAGAGGGCTTAGGAAGCCGAAGCTATTTAGCCTTCCTGTTATTTATTTATTATTATTTCACCATTGAAAGAAAGGCATCGTGTAACGGGTGAAGGAAGGAAAAACGATAAATCAAAGAAATTTGACGAGGAAGAAGAATGAATAAAAAAAAAGAAGAAGCAACAATAACAACAACAACAACAATAATAATAATAAAGAAAGAAAGAAAGAAAAAGAAGAAAGAAAAATTAAAATACAAGCACGCTAATGGAAGGTGAAGAAGTCCGAGATATAATAATAATAATAATAATAATGGCGTGGAGAAGAAGCAGGAGGAGGAATAAAGAAAAAGGGAGCAAAAGAGAACTTAAAATACCATTATTTTAGATATATTAATGGAAGACTATGAAGCAATAATAATAATGATGATAATAATAATAATAATAATAAGAAGAAGAAGAAGAAGAAGAAGAAAAGAAGAAGAAAAAGAAGAAGAAAAGAAGAATGAAAAGAGAAAAATTAAATTATTATTATTATATGCATATTAATGGCAGGCGGTGAAATAATAATAATAATAATAATAATAATAATAATATTCGTAATTATAATAATAGAATAATAGAAGAAGACTATGGAGTAATAGCAATAAGAAAGAAAGAAAGAAAGAAAGAAAGAAAGAAAGAAAGAAAGAAAGAAAATCAAATTATTATTATTATTATAAGCATAGTATGGAAGGCGGTAAAGTAATAGCAATAATAATAATAAGAAGAAGAAGAAGAAGAAGAAAGAACGAAAACTCAAGTTAGCTGAAAGAAATATGCAGCCTGGATTATGACAAAAAAAAGATGAATGAATCAACAAAAAAAAACAAAAAACAAGAAACGAAAAGCGAAAACAAGGAAGAGCGAATAAAATAAAATGAAAGCGAAATCATAAAAGAAGGAATGAGATGAAAGCACCCCCCCACCAAAAAAAAAAAAAAAAAAAGGCAAAAAAGAAAAACGTTTAAAAATTTGTCAAAGCAAAAGCGGATGAGACTTGTACTTTGTACTGTGCAAGCATAAACATGGGTGATGAGGTGTCGCTCAGACGAAAGAGATAAAAAGCTGGAACCTCCAAATATGCCAAATTCGGTGACGACTGATTCGGCCATGTGGGTGGCAGAATAGAACGCAAAATAAATAAATAAATAAATAAAATAAGAGTGCTCAGGTAATTATGGAAAGGGGATTGTAGGAAGATAACGAATAGAATGAGGGCGAGTAAGAGTAACAGATGGGTGTGTTCAGTTGTTAGCGAATGGGATGAAGGCACGGAGTGGGACAGATGATAAATTAGGTAAGTGGGAGAACAGTAGCAGGGTAACAAAAGATTAACATTATGTAGAAGGTCTGCGAATTGAGAGTATTATATATATATATATATATATATATATATATATATATATATATACACACACACACACACACACACACTTTAGCTCACCAAATACAGGACGACTCAAGGGCCACTCAAGGTAAAATATTACTGGGTGTAATTGTTGGAAGGACGTCTGCTCCAGAAAAAGTAATTTCTGGACAAGAAGCTGCCTGGGTGGAACTTCCTCCCTACCAATGGAATATGAAGGAAATAAAGATGTTTCAATCCCCTGTAAGCGGCATGGCGGGTTCTAGTCGTGAATGTCTGAACTGGTAGAACCAAGGAATAAAACTTGTTTAAACATTTGCCTTAGTAATAGGGAGAGAAAATATTGAAAGACTAGTTTGTGGAATAAGGGTTTCAAGGTAGGAAATAATTCATCCCCCAAATGGTTGCATAATAATTTTTGAACTCTGTCGAGGCTGCCCATATATGGCAACAATACTCCATTTTCGGTCTGACCCTTGTAAAGATAGACCATGATAGTAGAAGTATTTTCTGGGGCGATTCAAAGAATCGACCATTCTTGCAGGATCTTTTTTTTTTTTTTTTTTTCGGTAGCACCAATATACGCGTTCCATTTGGGGTCTGGGTGAGCTTTAGACCCTCATAGACATCCGAGGAAAGGAGCCTCATCGAGAATACGATCGCCCACCAGGACTGGAGCAAATTTAGGTTGAATTTCTGAGGTAAGGGTTATGAATGTCAACAAACTGCAAGATAAAAACTGCAGATAAAAAAATGGTAGACAGTATCAACGACACTGACCGCTATGAGGAAGCGAATTTTATAAAAACCTTTTTTAAACACCAAAATCTATTTATAGAATATTTTTGATATTTCTTAAGCTGAGCTGAGTATCGTACAAGACCACAAATGTGAGCACAGAGTGAGATCTAACCATTTCTCCACACAGGGGTTAAAATGATCCTTTGTTATGCTTTTGCATGTGTTACAGAACAAACGGCACATTATAGCGCATTTTATTATTTATTATAGCGCAATACATTTGAACTAATTTAACTTGAGCAATAATGCAATTTCCAGTCCAATAAGGCTACTTGTTTCCAGTGAATATTTCACTAAACATAAACTGATAAAAAAAGTTTACGAGAGATAATGCCAAGTTTATTAACTGCTAATTACAGGATTATCTGTATTCTTTTCCATCAGCCATAGTGACATACTAGTGAAGAAATAAAAAAAATAATAAAGGTTGGTGATAATTACCATTTGAATATAATTATAGATTCTATAAATGAGGGGTAAACTCTACATAACAGGAAATGACTAGATATCGAGTGAGTGATGCTGGTTTCTTGAGAGAGTCTTCTATCCTATACCACTTCGAATGATCTGCTTGGTAACGGGATCCCTACTCTGCTTCTCAGATCACCAATAACCTGGAACTCGCAGGCTAAAACGAAGAGAGGGCGACTAAGGAACAACTGGAGATGTGACATTGAGAATAAATTGAGACAGAAGTAACGAGGAGAGCTCAAAACCGCCTACGATTGAGGACTGATGTCGATGACCAATGCTGGTCTGCAATCGAAAAGAACCAATAATAACACATAATGAACGCAGGCCAGCGAAGACGCCATTTAAAAGAGTAACAAACACAAATAAAGAAAAAAAAACAATAAATCTGAAGCCGTTAACAGTTGTTTAAAGGGAGTCGGTGAATGAAAAGTGCTACCACCACCGTACCAAATACTGATACTAGACCATCCATTGACTGTCACTTACGTCACTCTGTTTTGATTTGGTTTGGTGTGTTGTGTTTTACGGCATATCACCTCATATATTACGTTTTACGGTATATCACCTCATTGGCGACAAATTTTTTTTTTTCCTTGTAATATTTTGTTTTGACAAAAATCTATTTCTGGTAATATTATTTTAAAACATGTATTGCTGGTAATATTTTTCTTCAAAAATATATTGCTGGTAATATTTTTTTTCAAAAATATATTGCTGGTAATATTTTTTTTCAAAAACGTATTGCTGGTAATATTTTTTTTTTCAAAAATATATTGCTGGTAACAGTTTGTTTTTTTTTCTTAAAAATTTTATTTCTGGTAACAATTCTTTTACAAAGTATCTCTGGTATTAAAAACCATTTTTACGCTTTTATAATGCTTTTTACCTCAGTTTCGGGGTTAACTATTTGCTCATAGCTGGGACACTAAGAGGTGCTACCACCCTGGGTCAGGGTGGACCTGGGAACACCAGCAATTAAGAGGTGGTTCCACGCTCCTCAAAATCTTCTGATCAGAGGCCTTGCTGTCGAATGTAGTTCATAGTCTTACTCAAGACGCGGATGTAGTATATCATTATACCAAGAACGATCACTCTGTTTTGAATGTCTACATAGTTCATCGCGACAGCGAGGAAATTTCCTCCTGCCAACATACGAAACAAGACATTTTTGGCTATTTGTTTACTAGCAGGAGGTTGAGTAATGGATAGCGGCTCTAATTGAGGAATCGGAGAGCCGAGTTCGAATTCCAGTCAAATCCATTACATTCACTTACGTGATAATACACTTGGGAAAAGGGATGAATCCAACTCTTATGGTCTGAAGAGGAACGATGGAGTAATGGATAGCGGCTCGGATTGAGGAATCGGAGAGCCGAGTTCGAATTCCCGTCCAGTCCATTACGTGCTAATACCCTTGGGAAAAGTATAAATCCTTTTCTTCTTCCCCAAGCTATTGGTAAGTAGCAGGACTGACCGCGTTCTATAGCCTTGGAAAAAAAAATCTACCTCGTCAGTCACGTATCGAAAGATACATGATCGCCTAAGCGTGTATCACGCATGGCACATAACTGACTATTTGCTAACAAGAAAAGCGCAAAATTGTATACATATAATAACAATATTCAAAGCAGAACACAAGGGTTGATAAGCCGTAGAAAACGAATAAATGAATCAAATGGACTGGATGGGTTCGGGATATCTAGCATCGTCAGTTCGCAATCGCGCGTGCTATCGAAGAATAGTCGATTTGGGGGAAAGAGGGTTTGAAACACTTCGCAATAAAAGAAAATACGTACTTTTCAAAATTAAAAAAATCCCTTTAGAAAAAAAAAAAAATTAAAAGCACTTCAATAGAATTAAATGAAATACTATCTTACTGGGCGTCGAGTGCGAATAATAATAAAACATTAAAATGTAAAAAAAAAAAAAAATTCTTTTACTTATTTTTACACTAATGTTCATCCTGTGCAAGGCCCGGGAGCCAATCGAAGTAGAGGGTTACAGAATAAGAGACACGGTTTATGGAGGTATATGGTTAACTCTAAACTTGAACATGCTAAGATTGTAGTGATCGGGGAAGCATCCACTGGGGAGTCGGTTCCAAAAAAGAAGCGGTTCGTGGGAAGAAGCTGCTCGAGTGAAACTTGTATCTCACCAATGAAATAAGAAAAGACGATTCGTTATACTATGGATAGCATAGTGACACTAAGGAATATAGTCCGTTTGAAAACTCACCCTGAAAATAGCGATAGCATAATGATTCAAAAACATTTACTAATGCAATAAAGTCGACGTCGTTATGTACAAGGCCACTAAGGTTGACTTAAAATTTCAAAATATAATATTAAAATATAAAATGGTGCAATTTTCGTTTACAGTTCGTTTCTTTACGAGCTCTTAAAATCAACTCGGTCAATATGCTATACAATCCAAAACCACGTCAAAATATTCGAAGGAGAAAACAATGCCCACTGAAACAGGAACAAGACCAGTCAAGATGTCTCTGCTTGTCCGAATCAAAACATTGGCATAGAAATGCAGCTTAAGGCTGTTTCATCTGCGAAAGTATTGGCGGGAATGCAGAAAACAAATCTCGAGTCACAGACGTGTGGAAACCAGGTCTAAGATTTATATCAATAATCAAGAAAACGCGCACTTCGACAGGATTCAAACATGCGCCCCCCCTCCTTTACAGGAGAGCACATCTTTATTACGTTTTCACGAGTACGCAGGACGAAATACTGTTTAAAATAAATACGGGTATCCACTAAAAACAACAACAATGTTGAGTTAAGCCATTAATTCTTTATATATATATATATATATATATATATATATATATATATAGGATGTCCCAATAATACTTTTACAAACTTTGAGGCGGATTCCCCATGCCAAAACAAGGACAACAACCTTCGGTCTGGAAATGCAATCTGATACAGCGGTCCAGCCAGCTTCGCGTCCATTAACTTTCGCGCGGCCGTATGTAAAAATCATATCTGCCTGCTCACGATATGAAAATCCTGTCGTTCTTAAACAGAAAACTTCTCAGTTAACTCACTACTGAACACGTTAAACGTTGAAAACAAATGTACACGAATGACAAATGTAACCTAGTCTACATGACAATACAGCGTCATTAACCGTAAACTTTCTTTATACTTAATTACCCAAAAACGAAGGATTTGCGAACATGTTTATATGGACTTTTGTCCTTGTCTTGGTTTGAGGAATCCGCCCCCAGAATTTGTAAAAGTATTTTTGAAACACCATATATATATATATATATATATTGCTGATACCTCTGACTAGTGGACGGACGGGTCCGTCTATGAAACTCTGGAGTCGGGATGCTGAAGGTAGATTGAGAGAAAACAGGCAAAAAGGCGGAAAAATTGAAAATACCAAAGCTCTGTCCTTATCGTCTGTTTTCTCTCAATCTCTGACGAAGCTTTAAGAAAAGTGAAATATGTTAGATTGATATACATTTACTCTTTGTTTTTTTTCTTATATATATATATATATATATATATATATATATATGGGCGTGGTGAAAAGTTCTAAGCCCGTCCAGGAATACCTTCTCCAAAAATTCTTAAGTTTGGTCATTTGTTTACATTTTGGAGGCTGGTTTGGGCTGAAAACTTTTCAGCACTTATCACAGTAAGGAGAATATGCATGACAAAAGAAGGAGAGTAAAAAAAAGTGTGTGTGTGTGGGGGGGGAAGCAATAATAATGGGGAGCAACAGGGAACGAAAGAAAGTAACTCTAAAATAGATATTTGTAACGCAAGTCCAAAGAGGGAGAAAAGGTACACTTGATTTCATCTTCCTGCAACAAAGGAAGAGACATTTAAACAAAACAAAAAAACAAGAAAAAAAAAAAGATGAGAATGTGGTAGAGCGATAAAAATACAGGTTTAGAACTGTAGATGGCTTCAAAGAATGACGAAGGGTAGAAAGTGAAATGAATCTTACGTCTTTCTTCTCTTCGCCCTCCACTAAATTGGGGCCGGAATGGCAGCCGATAAAAGTGACAAAGAAGTCAACATGGAGGAGGAAGAAATGTTTCTACGGCTGTTATCATTCCATCGCTTCATTCCTTCATAACTCCAGAGAGCTGCCGTTTGGCAATCCGTGCTGGAGGCGGTTGGGGGGGGGGAGGTGTTGGGGGAGGTGACGCAGAACTCAAGCTTAGTTACGTAACTACATCAATGTGGCGACAAAAGAGAGTGTCGCTATCGTTCCTTTGTCCATTCTTGGGTAACTCAACCCTCCCTTCCCCACAACAGCAAAAAAAAAAAAAAAATGTCAACCATTTATTTTTTTTTCTTTTGTCTTATTTTCTTTTTGGCAATTGATTCTTTTTATTTAATGAAAGGGCAAATATTTTTTTTAGTGTCATTGTTAGGATTTTTTTTAATTCAGGCAATTTGGCAAGAACACAAAATATTTTGGGTAAGGGTTTGCTTAAAAATTTGTTTCTCTTTCTGCTGAATTGTCTTTTATCAGCATCCCTCTGGTACAGAAATAATAAAGATACTATTCCTACTAGTGGTAGTAGTAATAATAGTAATGGTAAGTCAAATAGAAATTGATTCTTTAGTATTGGCACGTTACCAACATGACTGCTACCATGTCGCAACGGTAAGCAAGCTTGTACTCGGGTCCAGATTACGGGTTCTGTGAATTTAAACGCCACCTACGGCTTCTTCTATGCGCAGTTTCCTGTCAGGACTTGGGCGATTATGGCCCGCCACAATTTCATATCTTTTGTAGCTCTTAGTAAACTTTTGCTATCTCTCCTTATCTCTGTGTACACAAGTTCGTTAGGTACGTTATTCGTTACGTTCTTGTCTTTCCTATCTTCAGCATGCCCTCTGAGTATTAAATTCTCCAAGCCTTCTTTTCTTATGATGTGCCTTAGAAAATTTCAGCTCTTTCTGATTCAAAGTATAAATGTCTTTTTTGTTTCCATTTTCTCTAAGACTTCGTCGTTGCTCACATGTTCACCCCATGGCATTCTCATCATCCTTCTGTAAAATGTCGTCTTTTCTTCATCTGTGAGAAGATTGTGCGGCATTCACTATCATATAGGAAGACTAATATTGCATAACGTTCCAGTATTCTTTGTTTCTAATAGAATTTTCCCGTTTCTTAATACTTTGCTTAACTTTTAGAATTAGATTATGTAATAAGAGGCGTGGGATCTAAATACGTGGAAGCAAAGAAATAAATGATGAAAGTTTTAACTCATGAACAACGAGACGGTGCTGAAATGTTCTCGGCTCGACAAAAAAAATGGTAGGGATAAAAAAATAAATTAAAAAATATCAGCTGCTAGGTCAGATTTCGGGAAGTGTGTTTGGCCAACATAAACTGAATTACACGGTAATAGACTAAATTTTGCAGATTTCATGCTGCATTACATTTAAAGGTGATGCGCATGCGTGTGCGTGGGGCTGGCACAACTGTGACTGATGTAAAAATAACAGACATGGCAAAAAGGTTTCGAAATCTGGTTGAAATTGCTTCTATTAACTTAGATACATAGAATCAGACTAAGGATAGATAGATAGATAGATAGATAGATAGATAGATAGATAGATAGATAGAAACAGAATAAGAGAGGGAGGCATATAGATAGATAAATACATAGATAGATATGAACAGAGCAAAATAATTAGGGTGAGGCTGGCTTGGAGGCTGTTTTGGGCTGAAAACTTTTCAGCACTCTGTCATATATCACAGTAAGACCCGTCCGTCCACTAGTCAGGGGTATCAGCAATATATATATATATATATATATATATATATATATATATATATATATATATATCTTCTAACCTACATACCAGCGTCAGAAATCACTGGCTAAGATGAATGATGGAGAATATAAAACATTATTAATCTGAAAATGTCCTTTCGAGGGTTGAGACTTGTACCATACAAGTTTTTCACCATTTAGTTATTCAGTTGCACACACACACACGCGCGCATATGTGAGTACATAAACATATATAGTGATTTACTAAGCATAGCTTATTTATGGCACAAGGCCGAAAATATCGGGCAACGAACTCACAACGCAGTTCGTAATTGGTCTAGCGAGACAAGCACACACATATATAATACGCACACAATAATATATACTCATTTCAGAGTCTCGCATTGATATATATATATATATATATATATATATATATATATGGGGGAGAGAGAGAGATAACATATTTATGCAAGATATTTAACATTGCATAAGAGACAAACTTCCCCATTCTGACCTCTTCTGGTAAATGCCAATAATCTCTGCCATTATATACGACGAGCTCTTCAGTATTAAGCGAATGTAACATTTTATAGTCTTACAAACAATGCACATATACAAGCACTATATACAGGAGATTTAGTGTCACATTTTAAACGCGGCATTTCATTACTGATTCGCATAAGTTTCTAAAGTGCATATTTTCTGCACTAAGAATTTAGTGCAAGCATGCGTAGTTCAGCAGTTAGCGAGTTTTTTTTTTTTTAGTTAAAGAAGGTGTTTAACAAAAGGTGTAGAAATATCACTATTATATACTATCCTTATCGCTGGAGAGTTCTCTCTATGCAGGTAATGTACCTATGGAAGAGTGATTTGCCAAGTACCACTCACTACGTTCTTCCTCATCAACTATTGTGTCATATTTGGCGACATTTATATGCGTCAGTAAAAAGATTCTGAGAGGATTAAATTCCCGCCCTTTATAAAAGGGAACATAACCAGAGTCAATCAATATTAAAAGATTTGGTGAATTTAACACTCACAGGGTATACAGAAGGCGAGTAAAAGCAGACGACAGCAGGTAAACACTAGAAGCAGGATGGCGGGAAAGAAACCGCAGAGACTGAACGAGATCCTAAATAAGCAAGCATTGTTAAAAGAAAAATGAATTGTGGAGAGCCATGATCGATCACATTCTGAAGAGACACAGCAAACACAGAGAGAAAGAACTATTACGTTGCTTCTATTACGCTGTAACCAAATATTAGCATAGTACCTGTCAAAAATGACCGGCGCATCGAATATGTGTCCACTTTGCGTGGATGTAAGTGACGCTCGCCAGCTAAGACGAAAGTGTAGTGTCTCCTCATTCCTACCGTGTTTCTACTTTTAGAAAGTTCACGGAAAAGCGACGAGGGAGGACTAGTGCCGGGCATTCCAACCTTGCAGTACCATGGCCCGCATCTGCATTAAATATATCATCTGCATTACTGGTGTCAGAGTATGCATGCGGGGAATGGGTAATTTTTGTCTTTGATCCATATAGATCTATAGGCACCACATCTTAAACCAACCCTGTGTCCGAAATGTGGGAGGTAAGATAAATACAAGATCACACACACACACACACATATAGCTACACAAAAATTATAGATAGATAGATAGATAGATAGATAGATAGATAGATAGATAGATAGATAGATAGATAGATAGATAGAATCAGAGCAATCATAGATAGATATACAGAGAGAATCAGAGTAAGCATAGATAGATAGATAGATAGATAGATATGAATAGGCTGAGATAGATAGATAGATAGATAGATAGATAGATAGATGCGCCTGGAATAGACGAGCTTGAGCAGTTATTTAAATTGTAATTTTTTCCAACCCTACTCACTATTATTCCAGACCACCCGTTTATTTACTTTCCTACTTTCTTCCAACCTGTCTGCTTAGTCTAACCTTCCACCGCCTCCTTTTGGTCGTGAAAACAAATGAATTTTGAATGAATTTCTCAACCTACCCTTCTTTTCCGGACTTAAGAAGAGTAGTACGCTCGTATGCATGCAAAACAAAAAAAAAAAAACAAACAAAAACAAACAACAAAAAAACACTCTACCAAAAGGAAATCATCGTTTTTTTCAATGTTATATCTTTTGAATGCCGGCCAATTTATTATGCTTTCTTTCTTTTTCTTTTTCGGTGGGGGAGTAAAAGAAAAATAAATAAAATAAACCCAAAACGAATCTTAAAAATCACTTGTACACATGGCGTTTTAATAACGAAATTCAGGCCAACGGGGTTACGAAGATAATGATTTTATTTTATTTTTTATCTACTTTCATTTCCGCCATTTTCTTTTCAACACTGAATAAATCGGTATGCGAGTAAGAATGAGAAGAAGACAAAAGCCTCCCGACCCCCCATACGTTTTATTTGCAAACATCTGGCCCTGACCCAAACATTCACCTCTCCAACCACACATACCCACCCAAATCAAATTCCTGCATAACTTCTAATCATCAAGAAATTAACCAGCAATGTTCCAGATGAGTATTTCATTCTGACGACATTGTAGAGATTAAGAGAGCCATACAAATTGGAGTGGATCTTTCTTTCTTTCTGGCCACGTTCCCTCATCATCATGAGTGTCTTGACTCTCTTCCGGAAGTTGAAGTTCTTGACAAAACCCTGAAGCATCAAGTATATCCCTAGTTTGCAACTAAGTCTGTTGCCAGGAAAGTTGGTTCACTGTTTCGTTCTAGACAATCTTACATATTTATAAATCTACTATTCGTCCGAGCATTAAATACAGTTGCTACTTCTGGTCAGGTCTTTCTTCTGTGTACCTACAAAGTCTTGACAAAACCCAAATAAGAATCTGCAATATTATCGGTCCTGACCTAGCATATCGGTATCAGCCACTTTTCAAACGTTCTCTGTGCCTTTTTTTTTTTAAATCAATTCACCACAAGCAAAGCGATAACGCCACCAAGAAGCAAATGGCTACTAACAGTGAAAGAGAGTGGGAAGACTTTTGAAAGAACTGGAAACAAGGGGAAAAAAACCTGTTCAAAAGATCGGGGAGGAGTGTGAACCGGACAATAGGCGAATTATAATTATTTTCATTGTAATTGTTCTGATGAGCTCTCCTTCTTGGTAAACCGGCGTCATGTAGTAGTAGATTGGCAGATATCCTTTTATTGTTGATGCAACCGGAAGTTCTATGCTAATAGTTTCTTCTCTCTCACTTCTCACCTGTGGAACTCTCTTGTGGTTTCTTAAAATTCCTGTCAACTACAAGCTTCAAAATGTTAAATACAACGTCAATATACTCGCTCTTTGAACACCGTTCTTTTGCTGACTTTTCTGTTTTCAATAACATTTTCTCAGTTTCGTTACCTCTCGGTGACCCCTTGTGTCTTAGGGACTTTATCGCCTTGCGTGGGGTTAAATTATTTTTTTTAAGAAAAAGCTTCTAGAGTCATGGAATGGTCATTGCCTTGACTCTTGACGTTGATATTTCAAGGATTTAAAAAAAAATCATTGTTCATTTCTTGTGTTCAAATTATCTTCTTTTAGATTATTCAATGCTCAAGATTTTCATTGGTGTCTTTTTCATAATATTCTATACATTCTTTACAGGACTGAAGGCTGAAGAGTTGAGCGGTCATTTAATAGAACGATATCAAGGGCATGAAAGCATTTTTAAACGCGTTTATAGCACAGAGCCCAGTTCTACATAAAAGTTGGGCTCTTCTCTCCATGAACGATATCACACACAATCACATCACATGTATGTATGAGTGTATATATACATATGTATGTGTGTGTATACTTATTTATATAAATGTATGCATATTTATATATATATATATATATATATATATATATATATATATATATATATATTAGTCCTGGATATGATGATAAACTACATCCAGCAACAAGGTCTCTGATAGGGAGATTGGAGATTTTGAGGAGCGTAGAACCACCTCTTAATTGCTGTTGTTCCAGGGTTCAACCTGACCTGGGGTGATAGCACCTGTTAGGGTCCTAGCTATGGTCAAATAGTGAACTCCCAAACAAAAGCAAAACACTATGAAAGTATAAAAATACATTTTTATAGTAAAATAACCAGCAATACTTATTTATAACAGAATGGTCAACAATATATTTAATAGCAAAATGACCAACAATACATTTTATCTGTAGTTGAAGGCATGCAATTGTGTTCAAAATATTTAGATTTCGACACTAAATAAACCATAGATTGATCTGCCGCTAAACGAAATCTACCAAACAACCAACACGAAAGAAGTCTTTCCTGACTTTAGTCCATATAATCTCCTGCAATTTCTAAAAGAAATCAAACTGTATTCCAAAAATAAAACTTAAACAAAACTACAACAAAAAAAAACACACATATCACCGCTTCCAGTATGTCCACACAAACATGTATATGCGAAAAAGCAGCGCATCATCTACCATGTATGCAACTGTGAAAGCAGAATAACGTATATCATATTTTTTATTACATTAAAGCTCCCAAGAAAATTAAATTTCGACATTAAATGACTAATAAGCAGTTGATATGCCGTTAAAAAAAAAAAAATTAATGTATATGTGTGTGTGTGTGATATCTTGAATAAGACTGAGAAGGGAATTTTATTTAGTACTTTTATTATTCTGTCTATATTTCTGAGATGAGGTATTATGTTCATTATTTACATTATTCGGACTATTGTCCTCATCTTTGTCGCCATATTTATCACAACGTTTCGGCCGTTGTACGCTCCGGCCTTCTTCAGGTGGTTGGAATTTCGAACTGAACCCTTTATTTCGCTCACTGGGGTAGACTGTTCTAGTTCCACGTGCCATGTTTTAATGGATGTCAATTATCAGTTATCTCCTGTTAATTTCCCTCTGAAAGGACACATGGCACAGTGGATAAAGGCGTTGGCTAGATTCAGTGACAGGACCCAAAGAGCGTGAGTTCAATACCCGGTTAAGGCAGTGGAGAACTTTCAGAGGGAAATTAGCAGGAGATTCTACTATTATAATAAATGGTACGCAAGTGATATTGTAGACGGTATAAAAGTTGGTGTAAGTAGCGGACAAATTCGGGACAATTGTTACATTCAGTACCCGCCCTAACCAAAAGAAAGAAACTTTTTTTTTTCTTTTTTTACATTAATGTTCACACTGTACAAGGCAGAAGAGCCACTCGAGGTAGAGAACTACAGAGTCAATGGCATCATACCAAGCAACGGGATAAAGCCACCGAAATGCAAGAGGCCGCCGGAAGTAAAAGAGAAGGGAAAATTTTTTAGAGGAAACCTCAAATCTAATCCTAAATGGAGAACAAGGGCTGAACCTCTACTACTGTTCAAGGGAGCAGGGAGGAGTGTGAACCGGGGGATAGGCAAAGCTGTCTACTCCTTTGCATAGAGAGAAGCCCTGTAAATTTTATTCAATATGGATTTGAGCGAGTGTGGGCCTAAGGAACATGCCTGGTAATGTAGGAAGAAAAGTAATCTCGTGGTTGAAGAAGAGATTGTATCGGCAAATTTACAGGAAGACATCCAAGACTTGATATGTTTATTAGCGTAATAATAGGAATTACGAGTAAGAAGGTACTCAGAGGAAGAGGCAGAGAAGAAGAAGAAGAAGAAGAAGAAGAAGAAGAAAGAGTAGATAAGATTTGTAGCATAGATGTGTCGATAAATGTCGAGCGAGATAGAAAGATTGCAAGAGGATATGAGTGAAAATGACAGTATACTAGAGAGGAGGCGAATGATAGTGAGTGGGAAAGAAGGAGTCTGAATATATATATATATATATTGGCAGATCTGTTATAACAATGTGGCATATATAATAACAAAGATGATGGGAACAAAAAGAAAAAGACATCTAGATGAAATTGGCTAGATTGCAAGCCAAAAATAAATAAATAATAATAATTCTTTCTAAATTCTAAAACTCCCAGCATCTCTCGTTCGTGCACATGTTCAGTCAAAACAAACATAAACAAACCCAGTCCAATGAAGTCGAAACGGATGAAGCACGTCGCAAAAATTTTATTTATTTCAAAACTGTACTTGATACATATATATATATATATATATATATATATATATATATATATATATATAGTGTACTGGGCAGTAGATCATTATTCAAACATATATTGTTAAATATAATAGACAACGAATGTCTATTATGTTTGATCATAAGCAGGAAGCTTAGATCGAGGAACAACATAATGAAAAAAAATATCCAAATGTTGGAAAGATTTCATCTTTATTTTCCCCAGAAAGTAACGCCACTATATGAAGCTTAGAACGGTTCATGATCAAACATAGTAGACATACTTTGTCAGTTATATTTAACAATATATATATATATATATATACATATATATATATATATAATAGTAAGCCCGACAGCACTGACAAAGTGAACCTGGCCGCTTCTCTCGAAAAGAACCTCCAATCAGTGCTTGACTGGGACAGGAAATAATTTGTAAATTTTAATGACTCCAAAACTGAACTGCTCACATTTAACCCCCACCCCTAGAGAAACTTCCCTGCCACCCATCAGCGTGGTTGATGCTCATCTCTATGAGCCATCTTCAGAGTGGTTATATGGACATTTAAACAAAGATATTCACCATCAAAGATGATATTCTGTCATAATGACATAGAAGATTGCTATTATATGACGATAAAGGTCGCGGAATAGCAGACACAGGTCGTAAATTCGTGATGCGGTTCTATGACATCGTACCACGTGAGAGAGCGAAATATTAACAACAGAACCATATGCAATGTAATATGTTTTGACTAGTTTGAAATATAATTTTGTAGAGAGTGGGCCGCTTTGTCGTAATGTTGATGGCCTGCATTATCTGATGGTTCGTTTTACTGTGTGTATGCGTGAGTATTATTATGTTATCAACTAATATCTGTCTAATATTATGTACATGGCTATGTTTTTCTAAGAAATGTTGTTTAATAGAACTAAGATCAGAAAAGTGACAGGTGAGTCCACGGGAGAGCGTGGTTTTAGTAAAACCAATATATGTAGTGGGTATATTATTAGGATCAGAGATACCTTCTATGAACGGGAATATATATATATATATATATATATATATATATATATATATATAGAGAGAGAGAGAGAGAGAGGGGGAGAGAGAGGTAGAATGTGCGGTAGTGACGAAATATAGAGAGTGGAGAAACGAAAAATGTACAGATATGCACAAATGGAAAGAGAAAGAAAATGTAAAAAAAAGAATGACAATAATGATAAAAAGAAAGACGTTTTAAACTCGTCAATCCTTGCTGAATAGAGGTTGCAAAATTAACCTGCCCCACTGCGAGGCAAGGCGTGGAGTGTGGTGGAGAGAGAGAGAGAGGGGGGGGGAAGAGGGCACCTAAGTAGGAATTAATACCGGAGTTCCTCGTTTGCTGCTCCCAATGAAACGCAGCATGCAGGGTACACGTGCGTAGCGAAGTCCCTCTCATGCAATAAAATGCCTCAATGTCGGCACCACGGGAAGAATTACAGCCTTTATTCCCCCCACCCAAACCTTTCTTTCTTCGGTATCAGAAAATAACTGATTATAAAATTTCTCAGGTACAACTGAGCAGGTACGCTGCCGGTAGATATGGATCAATTATAGGTATATATGAGAAGTACCTTACGTGTTTTCTTTGCCAACATTTTGTTTTACGTTAATATCTGACTATTAACAAGAGATAAGAGACAAAGAAAACAGACTCGATGATTTATTACTGAAAATGATTCTTAAGTGCAATCTTATTTATTTAGCGGTTTAGTAATCGAAACACGAGATGACAAGTTTGGTTTCATAAGCAATCAGGAACTGACGGCCATATCACGTTGAAACACCAGTTACCGTACGATCACCGAAGTTAAGCAACGTCGAGCCTGTTCAGTACCTAGATAGGTGACCGCTTGTGAATACGAGGTACTGGATGTGCTGTTGATGTCATGAATAATAGTTCGGAATTGGAGAAGTGTATCAAATGATGAGGAAGAAATGTATATTTATTCTTTATATACAAAATCTCTCAGAATTAACTATTTTCAATGAAACTGGACGCTTTCTTTAAAAACGCAATTATTTTTCTGTTCATCTTCTTTTAGACGTGTATAAATTTCTAATTTTGTTTATAATCTTATAAATTTTATCATTTTTTTTTTCTAACTTTATTTTCATTCCCTTTCAGAACGCTATTAATAATGAATACACAAGAACGCATCTTTGCTGACCCCCAATGGATTTCTTTGCATGGATTTTCATAAAAACAAATGTTTATAGGCAAAAGATCAATCATTGATAGCTAAGTTTAAAGAACACATTCAGTTAGCAATGGTGGGGATAACTTCTGAAAGGTTTCAACATGTGTTTCGCAACGTTAAAGATGGAGTTGAAATTTACAAAGATACAGACGGAGGACATGTTGAAATTTTTTACTAAAGATTTGACGTAAGGTTTATAAATCTATTTGTTTTGTATGTTTATTACTTGAGTAATATTGTGTCAGCTTTTTTTTTTAATTGCTTGATTTCATTTAAATAGATAGTTAATTCTGGGACAACCTATGTGTGTGTGCGTGTGTGTTGGGAGAGAGGGGGGAATATGTATGTACAGCTGATCGTAAACATTATAAATAACCAATAACCTTTAATTAAAATTAAAGAACAAAATTTAAGAGGAGCGAGATCTTTGATTTATTTTATGAAATATGAAATGAAAAACAAAGCTATATCTGTGGCCATTTAAAGTTGTGTCAGCTGGCAAAATGCTTGCCGTAAAAGAGGTTTTAATTCCCATTTTAAACAAATCTGACAAGACAGTTAACGCTATTAAACTATTTAATGGTGTC